ATATTTCCGTCACACTTGGAGATGCTCCGCAGTTTTATACTTTCTACATATCATCAAAGGTACATACGACTTGATCTTCCTCTTAAGTTCGCTGTGCCTTTATAGGCATTTCAGGTGTATTCAGTTACATGAATATTCCTTTGGAGTTTGGAGAAGGAAAGAACTGAAAATGGAATCTTATGATATGTTGGGAATTATTTATGCTCGCTGCTCCCACTGAAATGATCTTAATTCCTGAATATTGGCCAGGGTGATCCTTACATAACTATTGATACTCCCTTTTTCTTTTTCCATATTCGCTCTACTATGATAGTATTTGATCTTTGAAGCTAAATATTCACTTTCAAATATCTGGGACTGGGGATTCGAAAGTATTGTTGATGTACAATGATTTTACACAGCGTATTTACCAATTTCGTGGCTTCTAGGTCTTGCTCGGTCTTTCGGGGGTTGTGCTTGTCTTGCTTTCTGTATTTGGATCTGTTGGACTTTTCAGTGCCCTTGGAGTGAAATCCACATTGATCATAATGGAAGTCATTCCTTTCCTAGTCCTGGCTGTAAGTTCGTTTTTAGCCTCTGTAGTAGGAAAAGTGAAAATTTTGGTATACCTGTATACTGATGTTTTTTTTCGTAAGTTAACAGGTGGGAGTAGATAATATGTGCATATTGGTTCATGCTGTAAAGAGACAACCTCGTGATGTTTCTTTAGAGGAACGGGTCAGTTCTGCACTTGCTGAAGTTGGTCCATCCATAACGTTGGCAAGTTTATCCGAGGTCTTGGCTTTTGCTGTTGGAGCTTTTGTTCCAATGCCAGCATGTCGTATCTTCTCCATGTTTGCAGGTTTGTAAACTTTTTGGTGCTCTCTGTGCACATGAGCTGCGAGTCTGTGACACTCTTCTTCACATGTGCAGCTTTAGCTATTATGCTGGACTTCTTTCTGCAAATCACCGCTTTTGTTGCGCTAATAGTTTTTGACTGCAAAAGAGCTGCGGATAACAGGATTGATTGTTTCCCATGCATTAAAGTTTCTTCATCGTCTCGAGAATCTATTGAAGGTTACTTCTGGAAAGTTCTAGAGTTAGTGTCTTTTAGACTATATAATATCCTTCAACTTAGTTAGGGATTTTGTGCGGTTACAGGTGGAAGAGAACCTGGGTTTCTTGAGAGATATATGAAGGTATTTTGATTATCATAACTGTGACCAACTTCCTCTTCTGATTAATACACATATGATACGTGCAACACAGTCACGCGCACACACAAACATGCAAGTACACTCAGCGATCTTACTAACTCTTTAGTCTTCGTGTTCCACAGGAGGTTCATGCACCCATTCTTGGACTTTGGGTTGTAAAAATGGTTGTTGTCGCTGTATTCTTGGCTTTTGCGATGGCAAGCATTGTAAGTTTCTGATTACATCGTGATCATTGTTGTGTTTTCACAATTTATATACTAACCATTTTTTTGGAAATTCCTTTGATATAGCGCTACAATATAACTATATCACCAAAACTATTTCACAGAGATAGGGAGCGAATTTACTCTTTTTTTTTTCTGTAATAACGAGGTGGTATTTGATCCGTCGTCTTAAATTTTCTGTGTTTTTTACTCATTCAGGCCCTAAGCCCAAGGCTTGAAACTGGCTTGGAGCAGAAAATTGTTCTTCCTCGGGACTCTTACCTTCAAGTTCAGTGTGTTCCTTTCTTAACTTCTCCTTAAGTTGTTCTCCTTGTGTTAATCTCTTGCTTATTTCTCCTTATCACAATTGGATTTTTTTTTGGCAGGATTATTTCGACAATCTCTCAGAGTACCTCAGAGTGGGGCCGCCTTTGTATTTCGTAGTCAAGGATTACAATTATAGGTTCTCTATCTGACACAAACACAAACATCACTCTCTCTGGCACAAAATTCATTATTTACCGTTTTTCTGCACTGAAATGGATTCTTTTGGCAGCTTGGGATCAAGGCATACAAATCAGTTATGCTCTATTAGTCAATGCAATTCGGATTCCCTTTTAAATGAGGTAATAATAATAGTATGTATAGCGAAGATGCTCCGGTTCAAAATAATCTGCATTTTAGGAAGTAACTGATGTGATTTATCTCTACTAAGATCATCATATGAATTCTTACAAGTTTAATGTTTACGTAAAGACCACTTCGTCGTGCCACTAAGGGTGAGCCCATTTAATGAGCCACCGAAAAAGGGTTTAGTCGTTAACATTCTTTGTTTTCTCCATCTTCCACCAGATATCAAGAGCGTCACAAGCTCCTGAAACAAGTTACATTGCCAAACCAGCTGCTTCTTGGCTCGATGATTTTCTTGTCTGGCTATCACCGGAGGCTTTTGGCTGTTGTCGGAAGTTCACTAATGGCAGTTATTGTCCTCCAGATGACCAGGTCAGTCTTATCTCTTAGAGCTTATTGTGGATACCATGATTTCTCTGTTTCTTTCTCTTTAATAGGTATAGTTCTCTTATACGGTATGATAATGGCTCATATGCTAGTTTCTGATATATGTTTAAAGCCTTTAACCAAGCATCAGCTGTTTAGAATACAAATTAGCGTTCCAGTTTCTAACTTATATTCTCAAGCTACAGCCACCTTGCTGCACAGCTGAGGATGATGTATGCGGTCTAGATGGTATCTGTAAAGACTGTACTACAGTAAGCCTCTCTCTCTCTATTTCTCTCTCAACAATATTTAGATCGATCTAAATACAGCTCAATTCTGTAAACCATTGCAGTGTTTTCGACACTCAGATTTGATACAGGATCGTCCATCTACAGCTCAATTCAGAGAGAAACTACCCTGGTTTCTAAATGCTTTGCCATCGGCTGACTGTGCAAAGGGTGGTCATGGGGCTTATACAAATAGCGTGGATTTAAATGGTACTCTAGAATTTGTTTATAGAGAAATTCTGTTTGCGCGCGGTATACTTTATTCATTTTATATGCTTTTGGGCTGAACCGTTTCCTGGAACGCTTGGTTTTTTCAGGGTATGAGACTGGAGTTATACAGGCATCTGAGTTCCGTACATACCACACTCCACTTAACACACAAGTATGGCACTGTTGTTTCAGGCCAGAAACTTCTTAAAGAAAATTTACAAGTGAGATTTCCTAAGTTTGTTTATGGAAAACCTTCTCAGGGTGACTATGTTAATGCACTGCGAGCTGCTCGGGAGTTCAGTTCAAAAATATCCAATTCCTTAAAGGTTTGAACCTGGTGATGAATTTTGGTTCGAATATTAGTAGCTGCCACCTGCCACCATATGTCGTTTTTGTTCTGCGAAGCTCCCTTCTATATAATAAGTGTTTTTTGTTTGTTTTATGCAGATTGACATCTTTCCTTATTCTGTCTTCTACATTTTCTTTGAGCAATATGTGGATATCTGGACAGTAGCTTTGACAAACCTCGCTATAGCAATCGGTTTGCTTCCCATCTATGAAAGGACAGTAATTTGAGTTTTGCTAGCTTGTACCCAAAGATAACTCTTTAAATTCTCGTATTGCGCTGCTGTGGCAGGTGCTATATTCATTGTTTGCTTATTAATCACTTCAAGGTCAGTTCTCTCTCTATAAATTATGTGAAATGTTAGGATCTGGAGATCTCTTGATGTTAGTTTCTCTGATTAACCTGTCAATTTCAGTGCCTGGAGCTCAGCCATCATTGTGCTCGTATTAATGATGATACTCTTGGATCTCATGGTACATTTTTTATTGACACAGATCCATAGAATGTTGTCTCGATTTAGGTTTTGGACGCTAATAGTAATCATAATGGGCTAATCACCCCTGATGTATAGGGTATGATGGTGATTCTGGGGATCCAACTCAATGCAGTTTCTGTTGTGAATTTGATAATGTCAATCGGGATTGCTGTTGAATTCTGCGTGCACATATCACATGCTTTCCTGGTAAGAATAAGTCATGTCCCTTTGTAACATTACCCGGAACACTCTACAAATCTGTTAAAATGTTTATTTTCTGACTGCTTCAAATGCAGATGAGTAGTGGGAACAGAGAAGAAAGAGCGAGGGAGGCACTAGAAACCATGGGAGCTTCAGTCTTCAGGTGATGAAGCTTGCGATCAGTTGCTACACTTTAAACTCTCTCCCAAGCATATTTGTATTTTATTTTGGTATACAAAGGTGTTACTCTAATTGATTTGGTGGTCAAATTTGTGGGACTTAATGAATGAAAACATGTTTTTTTTAAACAGTGGGATCACACTCACAAAACTTGTTGGAGTGATTGTGCTTTGCTTCGCAAGATCGGAGATATTTGTGGTAAGGACACCCAAATCCGTTGCCCTGTGCAGTTCTTGGTCTCTTGCTTGAGTTGATTCGAAAGGATGTGTATTATGTTATACAGGTGTACTACTTCCAAATGTACATGGCTTTGGTTATAATCGGCTTCTTGCATGGGCTCGTTTTCTTACCTGTAAGTCTGCTTCCATCTACCGATCTGATCTGGCTTGAAAACCCAAGACAATGTCATCTCTAGCCATTGTAGAGAGTAAGCATCTAGTGGGCGATTGATTCGTGAACTTGTTGTGGGTTTCAGGTCATACTGAGCTTGGCTGGCCCTCCGGAGCTACACTTGGACATGGAGGAGCAGCAGGGGAGAGACGAAGCTTCTTCTTCCCTACCGAACTGAGCAACTCCACAGACTCTCTCAAGTCTTTACTCAAACCTTTGCTTCCTCTTAGTAGTCAAATATTTCAAGTACTACACAATGTCAAAAAACTAAAGAATCAAAAGTGATATCATTGGGATATCCTCTGCATCAAAGTAAAGTAACAGGCCCTAATAGATAATAGGCGATGCAACTGCAGAATATAATAGATAGATAATGTCCGTCACAAAATCATAATAGCTTCAAATAAAGCTGAGAAAAGGGGTCACAAGAAGCAAGTATGTTGCATGTGTTAAAAAGATATACAAACTAAGCCAAAGTAAATATAGATGATGATGGTGGAATAAGCGGATTGATGGTCAAGAATCAAAGGAAGGAAGAGAGAGAGGATGATGAACCAATATTCTGATAGTCTCTTTAAGGGAGGACTTGTAGACTTGTATGCACTCCACAAGATCAGCATCACACGTCAAGAGAACCCATTCTTGATCGTCGTCCAGATACTTGAGACTGAAGTTATTTGTCAAAACATTGTCCATCCCAAACCGCTTTGCGATCTCTCTTCTGAGGTCTATGAGCCGCGAGTGGGGCTGGAGGCTCATCCTCATCTTTGAATCTCCAAACATAGCCTTCACTTTCATCCCATCTTTTGCTTTCCTTGGAGCTGTTGCGGATGGCAGTGGGGGTAGGGATGAGGTCACACGAACTGCCCTCTGCTCCTCCTCCTGCAGGTTGCTTCTGCTTAGAGATAGCAGCTGAGGATGGCTGAGAGCTGGTTTGTGGAAGCCACCAAGTTGTTGCTCTTCAGAGGAGCAACAGGTGCTCGAACCTGACGAGCTTTGGCTGCCAGATGAGGAAGGCGATGACTTTGGAGGCACGTGAACAGTCTGGATTGGATTAAGCAAAGGAAAAGAAGAAGAAGATTGAAGTTGAGGGAAGCTTGAGTAGAAGGAGGCAAGATGGAGAGAGCCTTCAACTCCTTGGACAGAGTCCATCACCACCTGCAGTTTCCGAAGAGAATGTCCCACTTTCTTGATCTTCCTCGATGGCCACCTTGAGATTCCGTGGTGTCTGCAGATCCTCTTCAAGGTCGTAGGACATACTGCAATGTATAATTAATACCATCACCATCACCATCATCATCATCATCATATGTATGATAATATGTACATATATAAAAGACGCACCACCAATGTTTTTAGCGGCGTCCTTGAGGCTGCCAGCAAAGTGTTGTCTTAGAACCTCCAAAGTGATATCCTTTTCAGCCTTTGTTTTGCGCTTTCTAGTCTCCAAAGAAGAAGAGAAAGAAGCTTCTCTCTGATACTCCCAAGAAACCGACGACACTTGTTTGCCCTTGTGATCATTGGCCTCCGGCGCCTTACTTGATGATATCCATGGTGACTCCTCTGCTACAAGTTGTTCTGCTGACCCGCTAGTCAGGGGCGTGGCTGTGTCCGCAAGTTGGTCGTCGTCTACCATTAGATGTGGTGAGCTCTGGAAGCGTAGGCTGAGTTGGGAGGCGAGGGTTAGCCTCTGAGTGTGGGTGTCAAGACAGTCTCTGGGGAAGAAGAACTCGAGAACGAATTGGACGGTGCGGTTGCGTCTGGTCAGGAGAGGGACGGCGAGAGCAGCGTGGAGGTCGAACATTCTGGCGTAGTGGGAGAGAGGGTAGCTCCACTTGCTGAGGATGGCCACATCTGTTGCGAAACACTGTTTCTTGGAAGCAAAAGCTGTTCCAGCGATTCCTTCGCCGGGGAGTAGATGGTGCTCTGAGCAGGCGGACAGGAAGCAGCGGCTGTCCTGGTCAGCAGCGTAAGAGGCGGAGACAAGAGCAGAAAGGCACGACTCTTGGTGGCCCCACGTAATAGCTAGAGGGAGCCCGTTTGAGGTACAAAAGCCCTGGAGGATCGAGGCCACCTCTGCGTGAAGGTCGTCGTCGGCGTGGGGCTGTGGAAAGGGAAAGGGCACCATTGAGTAGAAAGAAAGAGTAGTGTGCAAGTAATCAAGAAGAAGAAGAAGAAGAAGAGCAAGGAGTTGCTAGGACTGACCTTGAGAGAGGGTGTAACGATGGAGGTTTCTGAAGTCCGGAGATCAAAGGCCTGCCGGAAAATTCCCGATTGAGTGTGTATATTTAAAAGCAGCGGAATGTTAACCATTGAAGCTCTTCAAAGGTTGCTTACGTCAACCAAAAATAATAATAATAATAATAATGCAAAGACATGGGAGCGAGTCAATGCTGAGCAGTGTTCCAACAGTGCAGTGACAAGATTATATGTTACATGGAATTTAAAGACTCAATCACACACTCATGACTTTTTTTTTTTTTTTTTTAAATAATCCCACCAATTAATATTCACCACCAATTTAGTTAATAATATACGTATATCATCATCAACAGCAAAAGAGAAAAAAAACGGTAACTTAATGAAACTAATAATACCTGAAGGGCCTGGGAGATGTTGTGAAGTTGGGAAGCATACTCCAAGAAGCTGTGGTGAGTGGTGACCATTTCCATCACGCCCACGCAGTTTCCACGAGGTCCTTGGAAGAGTGGGAGAGCGAGGGAGGCTCGAACCTGGTACCTTCGTGCGTATCCGATGCGATGGTACTCCTCACTCTTGAAGAAGCGAACGTCTGGTGTCCACTCAGGCATCCTCCTCATAAACACACGCCCAGGCAGCCCCACCAGCTGTTCCGACCCAGCCTCTGCTGCAAAGCTGTATCCCGCTGAGACGTCCCTGTAGAGGGCCAGGTTCTTGCTCTGTCTCTGTCTCTGAGACAAAGGGTCTAGGGAGTAAGGCTGCTCCTCCGTGCTCAACACTCTTCTGCTCCCTCTCTCAACCGGTACCCACAGCTGAATCAACAACTCCTTTTCCCCCATCATCTCTCGCAGGTGCCCCATGGCGCAAGCCACCCTCTCCTTCAACCCTAACAACGATGATGGTGATGCCTCCTCTTTATCTCTTAACGCCCCCTCTTCTTCCCAACACTCCTCCCACAAGAGTTGGTCCATAAAGTTGTCAGGGAATTCCACCACGCCCGAGTTGTTGCTTTCTTCCATGAGCAAAGAGAAAGAGAGGATCACAATTTGATGATGAACAAAAGTTATGATGATTGGCTCAAAGGGATGATGATGCAAGCATGTGGTTTTGATAGGCTCCGTTCTTTGTTTTTATCATACGCCAACAACTCTGTTTTATATAAATATTCTTATGTAATGTACCCAAAGGATCGAAAAAAATCAATAAAATGGGATAAGTCAATTGCTCACAAGGTCAAATCCTTTGTTAATTATAATGTTCGCCGACCTTGTCTCAATCTTACTTACTAATCCATCCATCCATATACACCAATATATCTAATAAACAAAGAAGAAGACACAAAAATCATATGTAACTGAGGAAACTATTTATGTAATGTGTGTGTGAGAGAGAGATAAAGACTAAAGAGAGAAATATGAAGCAAGTAAGGAAAGTAGGATAATCCTATTGTTTTCTTATTGAAGAATCAACAACAACTGGATCCAGGCACAGAAGATGATGGAGGGAATCTTTGGTTGTGAATCTTTTTTGAGGGTCCCACTTAAATTATCACATTTTGTTTTTCTTCATTTATACTATTCAAAGTCACCAATCCGAGTCTCCTGAATCTCCCCGAGAGGTTGTGTGGTCCAATGCACTAGGCACGTCCAGTTGTGCCCTCTTTTCATCCTATAAGCTAGGGTTCCCAAAAATGGCCCATGCTCTCAAGATTCAATCACTACTCTTTTTTAAGTACCATTCCCTTTTGTACTATCTAAATCTAACCAGTAACCATATATATCTAGAGAAGAAACAACTTTGTTAAAGAGAATGACAAGTATTGAATAATTTTTTATTTGTGTGTGTGTTGTGTTGCAAGGGCTTTGAATAACCCTTGACGTAGTTGATTTTAGAGCGGGTTTTTTTTTTTTTGGCATTCTCGTTTACGTGCGTTGCACAAAAAATCAGTGTTCCCAAAGCATTAAATAACTAGTAATTGATTACTATTAAAGCCTTAGGTTGCATAATTAAGGGGTGAGTTGAGAGAATAAGATCAATGATGGATCTGTCGGAATCTTTCTCCAGATGACATCAGCAACCTGTCAGAATCTCACTTTTATAGTCTGAATAATACTAATAGATATGGTTCTTGTTTCAATGACTTGAGGAATCTAAACCAACATATCTGATGAGTGGACTATTTCTGAGGACGGATTCCAAATCTTTATGAGATAGATATGTGGATCCAATAGTTACCTCACCACATGCGTACTTAACCGGGAAATTTTAAATTTACATAGAAATCATTCATTCTTTAACAAAAAAGGAAAGTATAAAAGTGCCTATGGGGGTGTAAATATCTCTAGAAGAAAGTATGTAGGCGAAAGTTAAAGCGATATATAAAGGAAATGTAGAGCAAGTGTGTGTATATAAAAAGGGAATTCGTTATTTTTTTGGGTATATAAATAGGATGACATCACGAAGCTGTTTAAAACTTTAAATAATGAAACGGAAGCAAGCTGAAGTCAACACCCTAATAATAAAGCGCCCACACAAATAATAATTACTAGCTATGGCCTATGTGTGTGTAATTAATGAATTTAAACAACATATTTGGAATGCTCCTCTCATACAGACCAGAATTGTCAAAGGCGTTGTGTTTGATAATTGCGAAATTATTGACTCTCTCTCTCTCCCTATCTCTGGTTCATCATAGCAATTTAAAAACAAATATCTTGTTGTTCACCTAAAAATAGATACATGGGGCCTGATTGGTTGTGGCTGTGGCTTTAGATTTTTGGCTGTAGAGTTTAGGCTATAGATTTTAGTGCTGTGGTTTTAGTTTTTAGTGCTGTAAGATTTATTTTTTTTGTAGATTGTGTATTAAATGAAATATTAAAACAAAAAAAGAAGATATAGAAATAAGAGATTAAAAAAAGGATATAGACAAAATAATAAAGGAAGAGAAGAGAGAGAATTTAGAGAGCACTAAATTTAGTGCTCTAGAAAAATTGCTTTCCACAGCTAAGGAACTTCCATAAATAAATAAAATTGCTCTATGTTTCAAAAATGGAAAGAAATAAAAGGAGAGCATGATTGGTAATTTTGGAGTGCTTTAGAGAGATATAGAGCTGTGGAGAGCAACCACAACTCCCACCAATCATCCCCATGGACTTGGTAGTAGTATTAGGAGTACACGTGTAAGCAATAAAATTGGATGTATAAGCCCACCCAAGTGACGTGCGAGGAATCAATATTGGAATTGAACGCCCCTAACTCGTGGGAGCATTTTCTTACTAAGTTTGTGAAATAATAATATATGATGATGAGAAGCGACGAGCTACCATGGAGGAGGAATAATCAAACATATCGTGTCAAGCAGATCACAAGCACTGTTGTAACAATAAAACTAACTCCAACATTCTGCCTAGTAACAGTAACAGCACATGATTGATGTTGATTCAAGAGAGTCTATTAAGCGAAGTGAGTAAAGAAGGCACTTATATTAGGCTTCCCACAATCCTGTTTCCGTATCCCTATTGGTCTAATCTCCTTCCTTTGGTGTAGATTTTAGAGAATTCACAGACCTTCCCAGCACGTTTAATGCAGATACGCGCTGCATCTCTCTCGCTGCAACACCACACATTCATCAATGGTACTAAATCTGTGACTTCATCGATGTTATATTTGCAAATGAGAGTGAGTGAGTGAGTACATAAGCTCGTACCTTCCTCGAGAGACAAGTGAATAGACCTCTTTTCCAAGTCTACAGCATGCTTGCTCAGCTCCGCGGCTGAAAGTGACCAAAGCACTAACACACACACACACACACACACTCATATTATTTAGAGTCACAATCTTAAGCAAATGTTCAATTACATAACGCAGCAGCGCCTTACTCTGTACGTGATGATCCGTCTGATGAGATTGACTATCAAGCTTATTCAGAAGCATTTGAAGCTGATGGTAACGCTCTTCCCAGCGAGCTACTTCTCTTGTTGGGGCCTCCTTTGCCTTATTTGCGTCTACCTCCACTTTTCTTCGTACATATACAAGCCCGCCTGGAGATTGAGATTGATTGCCCACCATTGCAAGTTTCTTCGAATCACCACTGCGTCCTTGTTCAACGGCATCCATTGCAAGTTTCTTCGACTCACTATTGCGCCCTTGTTCAACGGCATCCATTTCGAATCTTCAAATCCACTAACTAGGATTGCACAGAAAACGGAGACGACGACTGGATTTCAGATCTGGAATTCTGTTTTCTTCGTCTATCAATAATGGGTCACAAGGCCTAATCAAAGGCCCACTATGCGGATTCATGGCCCAACAGTAACAAGCCTTTGATATCTTTTCGACATGAGAATTTCGCAGCAACGACGAAACAGGAGCCACAACATAGCAGCGCCGCTACTTGTATGTTAGAAATAAGTTAGATAATGCTTTTGCTTATATGCTATCTAAAAGTGAAATGAAATGAGCTTTTTTATAATACTAGTATCACCAACTTTACTTTTTCTTGATAAAAACTCTAATCTACTTTGATACCATTGTTAAGAGGTAAGAGGTGGTTACACAGTTTGGATATAATAGAAGAAAGTGAATTTAAATGGGGATTTAGTCAGGTGAGTTTAAAGGAGAGCGAACATTTATCTCCGCTTCAATCACAGGAAAAGAAGATATCATCTCTTTTGTGTGCGCGCTTGCGCTTCGTCTACGACTAGGGTCCTCCAGTCTCTTGTTTCAGTTCATTCATTGATATCGCATAGACGGAGGTAAGGGTTATCGTAGTGGACGTACTTGGACCAGTAGGTTTTGTACTTGGCGAACGCCAGACCCAGCCATGGCTTGTAGTTGCCATTGTAATGCACAACCGCTGCATTCTCTATCGCTGTTTGGTTCAGCGCTGGGTCATAGCCAAGCCCCAGCACGTGCCAGCTCCTCTCCATTGGATATGTCAGGTTGTAAAAAGTGATCAGCCCCGGTGGCAACGACCCCAGCTTCCACAGTGTCCTGTCCTCGTTCATGTCTTGCCAGTAATGGTATATCCCTGTGAGGTTCCGTTTCCTCCACTCTTTCAGGTCAAACATATTCATCCCAAATGCCCACCCGCAAGCCCCCGCATCGAAATTCTCTGATATCTTTGGGTTTGAGAAGTTGAGGTACTTGTCAAATCTGTGGAAGCTTTCCTTGCACGTCTCCACCGCACCATTCACTTTCCCTTGCATGTCTACTGCCCATAGAGGCGCCATGTCCTTTTGCACCACTATGTCATCGTCCAGAAACAGGATCTTCTCCAGCTTCGGGTATACCTCAGGAAGGTAGAATCTCAGATGATTCAGCATCGATAAGTACTTCGGGTTTCGGTACTTGAGGTTGTCCGCCCCAGCTGAGATGGATGAAGGTTGATTTGCCTTGAAGTAGTACTCTTTCAGCCTTGCGGATTCAAGCTGCCGCAGAACAGAGCAGTAGGACGAGTTGAGCCACTTAAAATCATTGATGTTCTCAACCTGAATTGTCGCCTCCCCTGGAGCATTCATGCGGAACCACATCTTCATTGCAGCAAAATTCAGCTTGTCAGTCACTATATGGAACACGTGCTTCTGCGGTTCCTTTGCATTCAACACAGTGGAGTTGACCACCACTGACGTAGCCAGAACGTTATCCGAAAATATCGCATAGTGATATAGAGAAGGATCTTCAAACTTGTTTCGACCGACATTCTCTTTGGCTCCTGCATCCTCTGCACTGAAACCGAGCACAAAATAGTCTGCCGCCAGCTGCAGACTCAGGCAATGCAATGGCTTGGGAAATGTTTTGGCGGCCAGCTGAATTAAGAAAGCGCCCTTTTTCTTCAGTCCGTCTACATTGCGCTCAGTGGATTGAAGCATGGCCCGGAACTTCTTCGCAAGTTTGTGGCAGTCATATAACTCGTCTTTTGCAAGAGAGAGAGCATGGCCCATGGCTTTTGCTTGATCAAGAGCGCTAGCCAATGAAAATGGATGGACAAAAATTAGACAAAGATTGCTGTCTCACTAAGCGAATCCATATTGCCAAGAGGAATGTAAAAACGTACCTTGAAGGAAGGTCAGCATCAGAGGTTGCTTTTCCTATGACACGCTGGTTTTCTCCACACTGCTGCATCAAGAAAACATACAGTTTGGTTGCATTTTTGGATTTGGCAATATTTGCATATGCTTTTGCCATAATGATCTGGTCTCTCATAAGCTTCAAGATAGCATCAGCGTTAGGGCTGTCATAGTCTCTCCTCCAGATACTGTATTTCCCAATGACTGAGTTTTCAAAGCTCATTGACTTGTCAATGGCTGCTTGTTGCATCTGTTGATCAATTTTCTTATCTTGTTGAATCAGCTCCAGAGTTCGTTGACCTCTCCTTTCCTTACGTAAAGTCTGAAAGAGTGTACAGTTGCAGTCAAATAAAATCAACGGATACATGGTGGATTGCAAAAGAAGGGTATTTGATAGATCACCTGACGCTTCAGTTTCACTGGGCTTGTAAATTCCAAGTGTGGAAACTGATTTTCACTTATACCAGACTGATTAGTATCATTACTGATAGAGTGACTTGCACTCTCATCCATTCCGGTATCATTTTGAAATGAAGCTCGCGGTAACACTAGCTAATTCCGAACAAAATGTCAGCAAGCATAAGAATGAAATGAAAAGAAACTCGTAAGATGTTTCTAGCCTCAGCGAGGAATCTGATAAGTAAGTGTCAACTACAACACAACAAATGAGAGGGATTCGTTGCTCTCTGCCAGTGCTACTAGTCAGAGTGGTAAGTAAGTAGTTGCACTGAATTTCAAGTCTTGATAAAACCAAAAACCAGTATATAAAAGACATTAGATGTTTTTACCTGCGAACCTTTGTTCTTGATTGGAAGGATTCTCCAAAACCCAAGACGAGGAAAGATCCCCCATTTTCACCCTACCAAGCCGTATATTGCCGTAATGGTCACTGTATGTCGCAACTATGTTCACATCCTAAGATTACCAAAACTATTTATTCGCAAGCATATGATTGTTATTGTTATTCAGAGAGAGAAGAGTGAGAGGCCGCAGCCTTACTTTGAGATCTGGATCGTAGTGCACGGAAGCAGACACCTCCTGCAGGCATTATTAGTTGATATACAAAAGAGTTAATCACAAGGATTTAGCAAAGTCTCTGCGGAGTTATTGGGAGAATGAGACCTCTTGATTGTTACACCCACGACAATCTTGCAGCGGCCGATAAGCTTTAAGTTCTCTGTGGCTGCAACAAAAAAAAAAAAAAAAAAAAAAAAAAAAAAGAAAGAGTATCACCATTCACCAACATTACACACAGAAAGTGAGAACGAAGACGACATGTGTAGCCAAAAGACGAGCGATAGATCATTACGGTGCTTGTGACTCTAAAATGTCTCCACCGACATGAGCAGCATGAGCATGTAGCAGTAGCTGCAATTTCACAAGGAAAAACAACTGATTCATTCGCATTTGATCAGATAATCGGGCCACAATACAAAAAATCCAAATTCGAGAGGAGCAAGAGCAATGAGCCATAATCATGTACAAGGAGAGCAATCCAGCTTACCAGGCATAAGAATAGAGAAACGGAGCATCTCGAGATCATCATCTGGATGGATCTGATATCACAAACTCGCCGGAGACTGAGAATCGCAGCTTTCTTATAAGAATCTGTCAGGCGGTTTTTGCAGCCACACGCGCTGCCGTTTCGTAGAAAGAAGAACGACACGCACTTCTCTCTACAAAAAAAAACAGAGAGAGAATTGAGAAAGATGGTTCCTGATTTTGGGTTAGTAGAGAGAGAGAGAGAGGGAGAGGGAGAAGAGAATGTGCATAGCAGTGTTTCTGTGGCAATCGCATCCGCTTTACCCTTTTCTTCTCTTTCTGAATAGAGATGAATATCACGAGAGGTGATCGATCGTGTGATTGAATGAATCCATCTCAAAGTCAAAGCTGATGATTAGATTAGATTAGATTATACATGAACATGATTACTAGAGGTGTTTCTTGTCTTGTGTAGGGCGACGGAGGCGCTGCGTTGGTGGGAAGACGATGAGACGGTGGGAGGAAGAGACCTTGTGGGGGGCGGCACGTGGCTGGGGTGCACGAGGCATGGCCGTATCGCTTTCCTCACCAATTTCAGGGAGCAGGAGACCTCCTCCCTCCCGAATGCTAAATCCCGTGGACATCTCCCTCTTCGCTACTTGCAGGTCTGCTCTGCATTCTGCACACCTTACTACTGCAATTCATTAGAGATTTTGATCAATCTTGGCTTTGGCTTTGGCTTTTACTTATATGTTTAGAGCCTTAAGAGCCCGGCCGAGTTTGCTGAGGAGATACAAGACGAGCTATCTCTCTACAATGGCTTCAACTTGGTAGTTGCTCATGTCTCTTCCAGATCCATGATCTACATTACCAACCGGCCACGCCACAGTGACAAGCCCGTCGTCACGCAAGTCTCTCCGGGGATCCATGTCCTTTCCAACGCCAGCCTCGACACACCTTGGCCCAAGGTACATGGCATGTTCCAATTCCATCACTCTCACACCTCTCTTCTCTAGGATGATGTACATTATTGCTCTCTTTTTCTCTCTGCAGTGTCTGAGGCTGAGACAAGGTTTCAAACAGCTTCTGGCTGAAAACGAGGTTGGTGAATTCCCGGTGAAGATGATGGTGGAGGAGGTGATGACCAATACCGTCAAGGACCAAGAGCCCCAGCTACCTCACGTTTTCCCTCCAGAGTTGGAATACCAGCTCAGCTCCATCTTCGTCGACACTCAGAGACCAACTGTAACTCTTCTTCTTTCTTTTTGTTTCTATGAGTATGACTGACAAGTGACAATGTCCCAGTCTCACTCACCAGTCACCACCATATATCTACAGGGGCGTTATGGGACCAGAAGCATCTCAGCGCTCAGCATCAAGTCCCATGGTGAGGTTTGCCTCTACGAGAGGCATCTTGAAGATGGTGATTCCTGGAAGGAACACACCCAACACTTCGCATTACAAAACCAAGGCATCATCATTTGACCCTGGTTCACTGTCTGTCTCTTCTTTTTTTGTTGTTGTTGTACATCACAAAACAGAGAAGAGAGCTCGTGTCTTTTATTTCCAATCATCAATCAATCAAAATATATGAATATACAATCACAAATCATATATACTCTAGCCTCAAACCAGAATGAGAATCCCATACTGCCATACATACAAATACAAATTCAATGCAACACTTGACACGAGGGAATAGCCTCACTTAGACTTTGACCGAGAAGATCTCACTGAGGGAACTCCAAGTTCCCGAGACAGCAAGAACCACGCCCAGTCCCACGATCGCTGCGTCCATGCTCCATTGTCTCCACCCCATGTCTTCCTTGAAGACCAGCAAATGAAACAAAGCAGGCAACACAAACCCTAGAACACAGCAAGTGCTGCTCCCCACCAGGGACAAAAAATCGGTGAAGTTGGGCACAAAGAGAGCCACCAGCGTGACTGCCAAGACGAGCAGCCATCTGAGCCACGCAGAGTAGACCCCACGCGAGAAACGCCTCTCCACAATCTCAAACACTGGATTCATCATCAAGGGGAAGGTGAAGAAGAGGTTGACGCATAGCCCAAGCTGTACAATACTGCTGATCAGCCCTGCCCCCAAGTTCCCCGTGATTATGTCCATGGTGTCTTCCCCAAATGCCAAGTATCCTAAGAACCCAAATGCTATGTATATCACAGAGATGAATCCCATGCCCAGTGCCAGCACTTTGCCGAACTTGTCCTTGTCCTTCATCTCCGACTCGAGCGGCAAGACCATTCCAACGCCTTCGAAGGAATAAACAGCCACGCCCATCCCGTAGAAGAAGAGTGACATACCGCCAAAGGCAACCACGTCAGGCCTCTGCTTCACTATAATCATGGAATCCTGTACAATCACCACAGCCATGGCGGCAAGATCGACAACGTCGGCGAAGATGCTGAGAGGAGCCAAGTGAGTGAGCGTCTTGATGGAATTCAACCCCAGCTGAAAGGGAAAGCATCCCCATATGTAGAGACTCTTTGTGGAGACTCCCAAGAATTCGGAACCCAGCCTTGTCATCTGATGCCTCAGGCTGGTCGGCGATTCAGGGTCGAAGAGACTAGCTAAAGTAGTGCCGATGAAGATGAGATATCCGACGCAGAACCCAGCTTGAGACAAAATGATGAATACGTCGACGACGACTCTCCCGAGGGAGCCGCAGACGGCGAATCCGAGATCCCCAAAAGAGCCGATCTTAGAGAAGCCGCCATTCAAAGAGTCGAGCTTGCGGCGGGTGTGAACGAGAAGCATCATGCAGTGATGGGTCAACACGGAGACGGAGACGAGGAGGAGGACACCCATGAGCCATCCGGTGCGCTTGAAGGCGTAAGGAAGGCCTAGAACCCCAGCGCCCACGACTGCAATGAAGACGTTGGCGAAGGTCTTGAACTGGCTCGACAGCGGAGGTCCCTTCCCGAGAAGCGGCGTGTCCTCTCTCGCCGGTGGGATTTCAAGGGTATAAGACGAGGAGCTAGCTTCCTTCTCAAACACCATTTTTCCCGGCGAAGATAAGAATTAACAAGCAGCAAGGATTTGAATCTGTAATCAAAGCCGCAAAGAAGAAGATAATAGCAAATTAAAGATGAGATGGAAGACAGAAAGGAAGGAAAAAACAAACAAACGAAAAAAAAAAGACAGAAAGGAAGAAGACGAGTCGAAGATAATTGCGTGTGTAGTTGGTGGAGTCGGAGAGAAAGGTCGCTGCTCCTCTATTTATGGATTGGCCAAGAGCCACCACACCAATCATCATCATCATCAATTCATCGTCATCTTCCGAAACGGCAGCGTTCCATTTTGGCCTAGCGAAGAAAGAAACGACACCGTTTCCTTGTCCTCGTTGTCGTAACAAATAAGCGCTCTCTCTCTCTCCCGGCGGCAACCTGCACGGGGCACTCACCGCGTTAATGATTGAATCTCTGGTCCAGATATGGCGAGGATTTCTTGTGACTTGAGATTTCTTCTCATACCGGCAGCTTTCATGTTCATCTATGTCCAGGTCAATATCTCGCCCCTTGTTTGTTTGTTTGATTGATATCCGATCTAGCTATTTCACTCCCCCAAATTGCAAATTCCACTTAGTTCAAGTAAAGTAAAGTGTGTGTGTTTGGCTCCTTTGTATCTTCTAGATGAGGCTTTTCCAGACGCAGTCACAGTATGCAGATCGCCTAGGTTCCGCTGTACGTTGCCACTGCGTTTTTGTTTTCTTTTCGAATGTGATCAAGATCAATCCTTCATTTGCTCCTGCAGATCGAATCAGAAAACCACTGCACTAGTCAAATGCGAACACTCATAGATGAAGTCAGCATTAAACAGTCACGGATTCTCGCTCTCCAAGGTTTCTTTTTTTTTCTTCTTTTCTGATTGCCACTGAGTACAAGACTTCCAACATTGCTTTCTTCACTTTTCTTGTAGATCTCAAGAACCGCCAGGACCAACAACTTGTCCAGCTTAAGGATCTTATCCAGTCGTTCGAAAGTGCGTTGCTATCTTCAGCTCTTCCATTCCTTTTCCTGCTAGCATTTTTGGTAAACGCGTCTTTTCTTCTCTCAGGAAAAGGAATTGCAAAACTCACTCAAGGTGGACAGGTCTGGTTACGAAGATGCTTTTCTTCATATTTGTATCTCCTGCAATGCTATCACCTCTTTCTTTCTTTTTGCATTCTGCAGATGCCTCTTGCTGCTGTCGTGATTATGGCGTGCAGTCGTGCAGACTATCTTGAAAGGACTGTAAAATCAGTTTTAAAGTGAGATGCTAAACTGCTTCTCTTCTTACACGAAATCTTTATTCAACTATCTAATCACTGATTCTTTTTTTTACAGATATCAAAGTCCCGTTGCTTCCAAATATCCTCTCTTTATATCTCAGGTACTTAACACAGGCTTCTTGTCTTGAACCACTCTTGCTGGCCTCTTATATTCAAAGCATACTAACCAATTTCTTAACCGACAACGGAATCTCTGACAGGATGGATCTGATCAAGCTGTCAAGAGCAAGGCTTTGAGTTATAATCAACTAACGTATATGCAGGTATATTTTTCTTCTAGTATCATGTTCGAGTTATTTGGTCTCTAGGTAAGTGAGATGAAGGCTCTTTTCCCCTTTTAGCACTTGGATTTTGAACCCGTGATCACTGAAAGGCCCGGGGAACTCATTGCCTACTACAAAATTGCACGTAAGCACTGCTTCTCCTTTCGGCTTTCTCTGTGCCCCTCCAGCTCCATGACTGAAACACTTGTTTATACAGGTCACTACAAATGGGCACTGGATCAGTTGTTTTACAAACATAAATTTAGCCAAGTGATTATACTAGAAGGTGACGCTTTCTAACTTTCACCCTCACTGTACCTTGCTATTGTGCGGGTGTGCAGTATTGTAATGGTGTATCTGTCTCTTTAACAGATGACATGGAAATTGCTCCAGACTTCTTTGATTACTTTGAGGCTGCAGCTAATCTCATGGATAGGGACAAGTATGTTATCTGCTGAAGCTAGGCTCTTATGTCAATTAAGTTTCTACAGTATACAAGTATTTTCTTACTGTTTCTCATTCATTTCTGGGTGCAAACATATGTTAGAACCATTATGGCTGCTTCATCATGGAATGATAATGGGCAGAGGCAGTTTGTGCATGATCCCTGTAAGATTCTTCTTCCTTTTTCTTATTCCGATTCCTCTATTTGCCTCTTCTTTCAATACCTCATTGTGTCCTGCTTATGCTAGCTTAAATGGTCTGCAGATGCACTTTACCGATCAGATTTTTTTCCTGGCCTTGGGTGGATGCTCAAGAGATCGACATGGGATGAGCTATCACCAAAGTGGCCAAAGGCATATCCTTATAAATGTTTTTCCATTTCGATGACTATAGTTTGTCGCATCTAAGACTTTCCTTGACAAATATTCCACTTACTGGGATGATTGGCTGAGATTGAAGGAAAACCATAAAGGCCGCCAATTTCTTCGACCAGAAGTCTGCCGAACTTACAATTTTGGTGAACATGTTGGTACCATATTTTGCTGTATCATATGAGTTTCCATTGCTATAGTTGTAGAAATCTGTCTTCTGATCTCTCTATGAAAAATGTATCATTGCAGCTTCGTCCTATAGTTTCTTGAGACAGGGACGTAGACAGTCAAGAGCAGATAATGTTATTTTTTGCGTTTTTCCCTTGTTCATATAAACCTTGTCATTTCCATTTTGCAGGGGTCTAGTTTGGGACAGTTTTACAGTCAGTATCTGGAACCCATAAAGCTAAATGATGTGAAGGTAAGAGCCAATGTGTTTTTTACCCCCTTTTGTTCCATCACTGCTTTTCATGGGTTTCCTTTTTCATTCGTGAAGGTTGACTGGAAAGCGATGGACCTGGGATACCTGACAGAGGTAACATTCTCAGAACTCTTGGAACCATTTCCTTTGTTTCCCTCTCAACTGTCTTAGTGGATAAATGTAGTTTTGTTTTTTGTCTACAAAGGGAAACTATACCAAGTACTTTTCTAACTTAGTGAGACAAGCACGACCAATTCAAGGTTCTAACCTTGTCTTAAAGGCTCAAAACATAAAGGGTGATGTTCGTATCCGGTATAAAGACCAGGCAGAGTTTGAGCGCGTTGCAGGGGAGTTTGGTATATTTGAAGAATGGAAGGTAAATTTCAGATAATAGAGCTACAATATTCAATGATTGTAGGCCCAAAAAGTCACTTTTGTGTAACCCCATCCATTGTGTAGGATGGTGTGCCCCGAGCAGCATATAAAGGAGTAGTGGTGTTCCGAATCCAGACTACAAAACGTGTATTCCTCGTTGGCCCAGATTCGCTTGGAGTTCGAAATTCCTGATGCCTAACCCACGGCATCTTTTATATCCCTAAGGACCCTAACCATCACTTACACTTCTCTGCTAAGACCCTCCTTGTAGCAGCTCTTTGCGCTTTTGGTTATAATATTGATGGATGAGTTCGGGGGGGGGGGGGGGGCGGGGGTTGGTGGGTAGGGGTTTAGGGTTTAGGGTGACAGCTAGGAAGCTCCGGTGACCTGTCTTGAAGGTTTTGAAGTTATGGGAAACCCTTTAAACCACATTTCAGTCGTTTTAGAACTGATTGTCTTGTGGGTGTCTTACACGAATTCCAATCATTTTATGCAGTCTTTCTTCTTTTCACTTCTCTTGGCTTCTATATCGCTGGTGTACATATCTCGTATACGTGTACCAAGTGATCCATGTTACCGCCAGATTTCCTAATCTTACTTGTTTGGTGGAAAGATTGATTATTGACCAAACTAATGCGTATTATTCATTATTCCACTCCCACTCTCTATTCCATCACATCATAATCGAATGTGTTTCTTTGCCATCTTTCACTGCCAAGGTATATAGAATTCAAGGCCAAGGGATCTGGTCGAGCATTAGAGATGAAACGGGCGGAAGGATCTTGGTTTGTCTCATGTGATCCACGCACTAAATGGACATCATCTCATTTCCCTCATTTGGGCCGCTGAATGAGATGGGCCGCTTGAGTTCCCTTTTCTATAATTGGTCTGAAACCGAAACTGTAAAGTCATAACATGTCAGACAAATCTTTTGTCGCATCCCCACTAGTCTTGAAAAGCGGAGCCTCATGATCAAAAGGAACCCCAAAACCCTCTCAAATGTACCACTTTTTTCTGCCACTTTTGTGACTGTGAGGATCCCAACCACACCACACTAGTTGTTCATGGATTATGGCCTACAGCAACTCGCATTGTGCCTCTTCATTCTCTGCCGCCTCTTTCAAGTCACCGCCGAGGATGATTGGAAGATAGCCACAGCCACGCTCTCTAGAGATAAGGATGGCTCCTCCTCCGTCAACATTGGTTCTTCTCTCTCTCTCTCCTCTCTCTATCTATCTATCTATATATATTTATATTTCTTACTATTTGGTGGTGGTGACAGGAGGCGCTTGTGGGTACGGAGATCTGAGTCAGACCAGCTATGGCGGGTACAGCGCAGGCCTGAGCGGGAAGCTGTTCAACAGGGGAAGCAGCTGCGGAGCTTGTCTGGAAGTGCGGTGTGTGAACCACATCCGGTGGTGCCTTCCAGGCAGCCCCTCTGCGGTGGTCACCGCCACCGATTTCTGTCCTCCCAATTCAGGCCTTTCCTCCGATTACGGAGGTTGGTGCAACTTCCCAAAGGAGCACTTGGAACTATCTCATGCCGCTTTCACAGGGATCGCAGAAACCAGAGCTGAGATAATACCAGTCCAGTACAGGAGGGTCAAGTGTGGCCGGAGAGGCGGGTTGAGATTCAGCCTGAACGGGAGCTCCCACTTCTTCCAGGTGTTGATAAGCAATGTGGGCCTCGACGGTGAAGTGGTGGGAGTGAAAGTGAAGGGCCATACAACGGCTTGGATTCCGATGGCCAGAAACTGGGGACAGCACTGGCACTCTTCTCTCGATCTAATCGGACAGTCCCTATCTTTCGAGGTTACTCTCATCGGCGGGAACACCATTGCCTCTTACGATGTGGCTCCCCCGTATTGGCGCTTCGGGATGACCTACCAAGGAAAGCAGTTCCACTCCTGACTCCTTTATCTTTGAGTCGTCATCATGATTCACTTTCGGTGGTGGTCAAAACTAGTTGTGGCTTTATTATGACTTTGGATACAAACACAGATAATCAGTCACTTCAGTTCAAGTTGTAAATTACTTTACGGCCATCATTGTCCTTTTCTCTTTACTATCCCTTCACAATCCTTACTTGCAAGTTTTTACTATGCTCATGAAAAGAGATAGAGGCAGAGCAGACAAAATGTAATGACCCTCAAATCTCATCGTCCTATCCTTAGCTTCTACAAACAATAAGCAATTACTTTTCTGTAATCACTAGCTACCAAACGCACAAAACCTGTAATTCTCGCATCTTATGCCAATAAACAAAGAGGGTAAAATCAAAAGAAGAAAAGAGGGATTTGTGTCTGCTCGCAATCAATCCTTCTTTCAGGTGCTTGAATGTCAAAATTCAACGCAAATATAATCATCCTATTCTACTAGTATTACTCATCCATCCATCATTGGACCCATACACGTCTGGAACACGGTGCTTAAGACTTGTGGGACTTGTGAGGAGCTGTGCTCACTCCGCACAAGGTCCACCAACAAGGGGAAAAAAATTGGTGCATACCTCTTGAATGAATCTCTTTTCAGTCCCCTCAATGCCTTGAGCACTGCAACCACTAGGGGAGACCTCGCTGCTGCTTCTTCCTTGGATGCTGCTCCCATGGGTAGAATCCAGTTTTTGGGCTGCCTGGTTTCTTCCAACTCTGCACCCTCAAACAAGGTGCATTTCAGGTACATCTTCAGTATTTTCACACACACTGTAATCAGTTGAGACTCTATCTTCAGCTCCAAGGACACTCCTGGATTGTATGTCAGTAGATCTTGAAGAATGTCCAGGTAGTTCTGGTGCGTATCATTTTCGAAATGAAGCATGGGAGGTTCAGAGATCTCCAGGATAGAGCATGCCCTCCTCACTTTCTTCTGCAGTATCAAATCAGAATTTAACTGGTGGGCGTGTGATGAGATTGATGAGAGTATCTCCAATATAAGTGTGACATGAGATGCCAACAATGACTGCTGATGGATTCGGTAGAGATCGGTCACTACCTAAGAACAGGAACAAAAGAGATAGTGAGAGAGGGCATTAGATCATTATTCTGGAGCAATGCAAAACAAGGCATACAAAAATTCCAAGTTTCATTTTCGTAAAGAGTCAATATGTTGGTTAACATGTGTACATTCTTCACATTTGCTTGTAACTCATTGCATACAAGAACATTTTGTACATACCTGTACAACTTGCAACTGGACGGTTATGTGACTCTTAGTTCTTGAAACTACATAAGACACAGTTTGCAAGCTGTCCTCGTCCACGTCATCTTCATTACTAAAGTCCTGATCAGACAATGTTTCCTCATCTGGAATGTCATCTATAGTTCTCAGAATCTTCATAAAACTCGACAATGTCAATGAAGAAGCTTCTTTCACAGCCAAAAATATCTCCTTCCACTCATTTTCTGAGAACCTGCCACCCAATTCGTCTGCCAACCTCAGCAATGCACCAATTCCAGCTACTGTAGGACCCTGAGCCGGACTTCTAATAAGACCAGCAAGTAAAGATACCACGCTTGAAAGTTGACACCTTATCACAATAAAAAAGCTGACAAATAAGTCCACCAGAGACTGTGCCGCCATAGCTGAAGTCTCACCATCCCAAGAAGCTCCGTTAGAATGTGGAGAAAATGTGGATGGTGATGAACTGTGTTCATCTTTAGAAAGTAGATCATTCTCGCCCCCCACACTGTTAAATATAGGATAAATAACAGAACTGAAAACGCCGATCCAGAATGTTCGTGAAAAAAGATCGCCATGATCCTTTAAAATATTAAAGAGCACTTCCAAGGAGCTTTTACGAATTGCTAATCTGGAATCAGAAGTTAATTTAGACAATCCTGTAATAAAAGTAAAAGAATTTTGATTAGAATGCAGGGAAATGTGGTTTCCTAACTTCCAAGCAAGAATTATCAACGGATTATGTGTCATGTAAGCTAGTATCAATTCGGAAAATATAAGGCACCCAGTGATGCGTTTAAATCGAGGTTTTATTCACAGATTTAAATTATAATAGGTACCTGTGAGCAAAGGAACCCAATATGATATGTTCTCATCTGCATCCATAAAATTTTGGCTGTTTGATGCATCGTCATCTATTATTGGGGTACCGGGACTGCTAGACCTACCCTTCTCATTCCACACAAGGCCTCCGTCTGCAAGTTTTAGCGCACAAAACCGTAGAAACGCGATAGCATTCAGGCTAACATCGCTGGTAAACTTGCTGTTTGTGAAAGTTATAAGGCATCTAACACAATCAGTAAAAGTCGTTGCCTCCGTCTCTGTGATATATGAAAAATACTCTCGAACAATTTTTTCCATTGTCTCAAAGGCCAACAATACAATGTTCTTCCTTTCATCAGCTGCTGCAGTTGTGAAAACCTGAAAGGAAATTGGACACTCGGTAAAACATGTCGACCAGACATGCACAAACAGATAAACTACTTGGCATATATCTTGCGTCTAGCGTTTTTCCTCCCTAATATGAAGCTCAATCATATATTATCTATCACATATAGGCGGATGCTAGGATAACAGAACATACCTTGAAAACACTTTTCCACCCTGATTTCACATTACTGACACGGCTGAGTACCATTTGAGAAATGCACCGAACTATTAATTCTCTAATTTCGGCAGAGCTGCTTTTTTGCATAACAATGACAAACGGTCGAAGAAATTCATTCTGGAAGTTGTAATTAGCCAGCTCCTCGCGTTCCAAGAACTTCATAGAAAGTTGTCGTAGTGAGTCCATGACGAATATAGCAACAGAAAGATTCTCCGACAAGCCAACAGATACAAAAAAGTCAGACAGGATGCTCCATATGCGAGACCAGACTAGCCTGATGCGGTTCATGTTGTAGTGGCTGAACAGCAAGAAAAGAGATATTTAAATTCGTAAGTTGAAGTCTTATTCGACGATAACGGTGCAAACTCGATATCCAATTAAGAAGCCAAGAACAGATGTATTCAATATATCCATTTCTCATTCTACATGTTTTAGAGAGTGTGTATCAGAAGAAGAAAACCTTACGCGATTTCAACTAGTTTGGTGAGGCTAAATACTCGAGGATCTGTAGGAGACTGCAGTTCTGACATAGAGACTTTGCATAGAGCTTTGACAAATGCGACTATGGCTTCAGTCTTCAACCGCTGGCTGTGAGCATATACATTATTCAACTGAAAACTCCCAATCTGGTCAAGCAAATTCAAGTTTGCAATGAAGCTATTGATTTGATCCTGCCTCACAAGAGCCGGCACATTTGGTCCAATTGCACTGCTATCATATGAGCCCCCTCGAACAACAGCCATCATCACCGGATTCTGGAGGGCTCCTTTTTTCTTCAAGTTAGGAAAACCCAAGGCTTTCTTCTCTTCCGTCTCGGATGAAGCAAAATAAGAAGCATCACTTGGAGCACCCTCACCCAGTAATTGTAAATGCTCAATTCTAGAAAGACAAGTCAATATATGCTCCCAAGCATCTTGCAAGTGATTACCATCTTCAATAGCAATTGATATGATAGCCTGAATAGCATAAAAAGTAATAATGAAGTTATGAAGAGGTGAATCACACATGCTTCTCTCGATCGAGGCAAGGAGAAGATTTACAGTGGAGAAAAAGACATTAACAAGCCGTTAAAGCAGAAAATTTAAACACGTAATGTATTTAGGTGAGTGTGACTCAGAATACTTATTCCCTCTGTGTGCTTATTCCTTGAAAACCAGAAGTGATAAAAGCAGATACAGAGAGGAACAACTGCTTTTATTTTCAACAACTATTTCCATAAGAAAAGAAACTTACTTTAACAGCATCGACATTCTTTTGCTTCATATCTCCTGCGCAATGGAGATTTGTGAACTTGGCCATGGAAGTGACAAATGCATCTCTTTGCGTTTGCATACCCATAACTGCTGTAACATGAACCGCATACCGAAAGCCTCGTAAGCATTCAACTGCAGCAAGCCGGTCATCACTCTGATCAAGTGTAACGCTGAATGCGGCAAGCATTGGTCCCCAGGAAACTTCAACCATAAAACGCAATATTGCAACATCTGTGACGACATGGTAAGCTGATCTATAAAACCAAAAAAGAATCAAAGTTATGATTGCAGATCCGAAGACATTCCTCCACGGTATTTCTCAACCTTATTCCTTTCTAAACGATAGATTAACAGAAATACACAAGGTAAATCAAAGGGTAAATATGGTTTATTTACGTTACATGAAAACCTGGTTTTCAGCCTAATTCGCTATTTTACAGGTAACCTGGCTGACTCGCTCAGCAGCATCATACTCAGAACAATCAGTCTATGAAATTCTTAATTAGAATACCATTTTATAATCAATACTATCTAGTCATATCATCCCCTGCCACTCTCTCCAAAGAATATAAGCCTAAGCATCTCATTTCACACTAGATCTTATATGAAAGATAAATGAGCTTACTCTGATTTTCCAGAGTTCGACCTGAACTTCTCTTGAATATGCTTTATAAGAAGACCATTAGCCCCGACCGCTTTCTCTTCAGTCTGTGTCCAATAAACAAGACTGAGTATACCGTCCAGACCCAGTAGTTTATTCAGGCCGTTGGACTGCCTGCTTTCTGGAGCAGAAGAATCAGAACTCATCTTTATTTCATTTTTGACAATTTGGTCATAAAGCCCACCAAGATACTCTTCTGGAAGATCTTTGCCATCATCAATGCCTCGGTTATTTCTGATAAAATCAGCCTTGGTCATCTGATTGTCATAAACCAGAAAAGCAGATGTAAAACCAGTAGAAATATCTTATACTAAAAGCAGAAGAAGCAATCTCCAAATATAGAAAATACAAAAACAATTTGTAAGCACAGAAATAACCACAAAATGTTAACACATGCGGACGCAGTCCAAAAGCTATCCTGTCATGGACTGAAAAAAATGTGACAGCCAAGAAAACAAACCTTCTCTTTAACCATGATATTGTGGGCGTCGGTGTTAAGCATAATTACAGAGTATGCAAGAACATATGCTGTGTCAGCACTGCTGAATGAATCTGGATTGCATTTGCAAAAGCGTTCAGCAAACTTTTCCATTATGCGGTCAATTTTCTGTGCTTCCCCAGGAAGCCTGAACCCCCTTAAGAAAAACCTAATTGCCTCGCCAAAATTCTTCTCCTTGAAATCAAACGAGTCCACGTAGGCATGCATAACTTTCATTGGAAACTCCTCTCTTTCACCCAAATAATCACCAATCATGGTTGCATTCAAGCCTGTGGTATTCCTCAGGAACACCACCACCTCATCCGGTGAGCTGCCAACCTTTCTAGAGCTAATAAGAAACTCAATACCCTTTGAAGGCTTTCTATTGAATAGCGTGATGCCTTTCTGCACATAAACCAAGTAAGATGATAAAAGAAACTAACATCGCTAAATGGATAAAAGCAATATTTGAGTTCTAAAATGATGCAAAATAAGACCTGGAGTTCAATTTTGTACGCTCTCCTCTGTTCAAGAGTTGCGGCGTCTGATGACTCCGAACTCAAATCTGGATGAAAGTCATGGTCTGTAGTTGTCCCGTCTTCTTCATTTGGGTTAGAATGATTGTCTGCAGGTACTTCATTTTCTATGCTTTTAGGCAAGTGTGATTCTCCCACGCTAAATTGTTGGTCCATCCATGTTCCCATTGCCTTAATAATGCTAACCAAGCACTTCACTGATTCATGCCGGAAAGTAATATCCTGGATTGGGGTCAAAGTTGTCGACGAACCAGGAGGAGGCCCTAGAGCAGTTTTTAGAAGACCATTGACAATCCTGCAAACATCTGATAGAATTATAAGAGATTTAATACATTTTACTAAAGTACAAGACCACTAATGGCGGGGAATATAAATATCAACCACAGCCTACCCTGGTGGCCTATTCTGATCTCTAAAATTTTAAGCAAAAGATTGTAATCTGACAACATCTGGAATGCTATTACGGAAACAGAAAACAGAAAAACAAGATATAAAATAAGAAACTGAGAATACCTTTCGAAGATGTTGGGTGACTCCACATCACAGTCAAAGTTGACAAATATGTCAATGATTAGGTATGGGTCGTGGCAAATGTTCTCAAGTAAGCTGAGCACAGTCATTTTCTGCAAGAAACTTGGCTGAAGAACATTTTCAAGGACTCGGAGGACAAGCATGGGGAAGAATATGCCTACTTCTGATTTCATACCCGATCTATATTTCCGTAGTAAGCTGGTGAAGATAGCACACTGAAGTTGGAAAATAGACATAACCGAGAGTGCGCTATTCTTTAACAGCGACAAGCAAAGATACTGCTTAATGGCATTCAGAAACCTGCATATTGTTTTTGGGGAGAGAGAGAGAGAGAGAGAGAGAGATTTAGCTTTTGGATCCCATGTAATACACAGAGTAGCAACTAGCAAGTCAAACGCGCATTAGATAGGGAAATGAAAGATAAAACTTGCCTTTCGTCAGAGCGCCAAATTGGGCCACCGTTATCGATTATGACTTTGAGCAACTCCAGAGACAAAGTCTTGCCTCTCACAAGAATCTGATCGTCGGTGTTCTCTTGAGAAGAGAACTTCATAGACAACTTACACAGATTTTTGAAGAGAAGGAATCCGTCTTCCCTGATCTTGCTCGTGCCCCCATCCTCAGCATTCACCCCACTGCCAGTGTCTTGGCCTTCCTCTGGTGCTTCAGCCTGCAAAACTAGCCTGAAATCCGACGGAGGATCCGCTTCCCCGGCCGTGATAACGTCGTTAATGAATCCCTGACAAATATGAACAGAGTTCCCTTCGTTGACATTTTTATCCGTGATGGCTAGCAAGTCGTTCACGTTAACCGTTTTGAAGGAGACGTCCATAGAATTCGCCTCGGCTCTGGTGAAGACGATGAGCATGATCTGAGCCAACACAGACTTAGCGCAGATCTGGTTGGTCCCATTGAATCCGCCGAGATACACATTGTAGCAAGTCCTGACAAGATGGAGCAAACAGTCGCCTCGGATCAGGATGCGAGGAGATCTGACGGCGGCGAGGAGGACGCGGAGCACTGCCAGCTCAATTGACTCCTCACCGATGCCGCAGACCTTGCTGATCGCGTGGATGAGCTTGTAGAGAAGAGAATCAGGAGACGAGGAGCAAACCTCGCCCCGGAGGAGGGAGAGGGAGAAGAGCTTGAAAGAGCAATCGAGAGCGGGCTCAACAACCTTTGCGTAGGCGGTCTCAAGCGAGAGAAGGATCGGTTGAAGGACTGCATCTGAATCGGAGTAGGAGAGACCGAAGAGAGGCGATGAAGGATCGGGAGAATCGGAGAGAGTCTCGAGCTTGTCGAGGACAGACTTACAGGCGGAAACAAGGAAGGTGTGCTTGCGCCAGGCGGCATTTTTGATGATCTTGTCCAGTGATGGGCCAATCACCCGCCCGCATCTGGTGGCGCCACCAAGGTTCTGCGACGACGACATGACCGACCGACGGATCTAACACATTCCTACAATTTCGAAACCAGTTCACGGCGAATGAAATGAAAAGACAACCCACATTTCTCCCCAATGTCAAAATGAAACGCTGCGTTTCGTCGTAAACTATACTGTAACTATCTAGAAAATGTATTTAATGCTACGTTGATTATTACGGCAGCAAGCAAAAAAAAAGTTACATTGACGTACGTTGATTGTAATACTCGTATACTACGTACGTTCATGATATTTTTATCTTCCTAATCTAATTGGGTTGAGTTATTCGACATTTAATATGAAGAAACTAAAGAACCAACTAACACCATTCCTTGATTATAGTAGAAGCCCAATCTACAATTAGACTAACGATTTACTAGACAAATGAAATCCAATTTTCCAAAATATCGACATATACATACGCATAGATGAATAATAACTACGATAACTCGTTTGTGTAGTGACAGATGCAAGTAGTTGAGTTCTAATCAAATATGATCTTCTATAGTAATCCACCACATTTTTAGTAGTGACGAGAAATAGTAACTCCTTGGTTGTAAAAGAAAATAACTATTTTCAACGATTAAGGATCACTTATTATGGTTCATATGTAAAGATGTAAAATTACAATACTTTCCGTCATTTTCGATGAGTGAAGAATTAGTTTCCGCAATAAAATGAGTTGAAAGAAGAAGAAGAAGAAGAAGAAAATCTCAAAATAGCACAAGACAACTAAACTTTCGAGTTTTCAAAAATAGGTTGATGCATAATACAACAAGTCCAAAAATAGAGATTAATGGCATAAACAGTTTTGTGTTCCGATAATACTCCTCTCCTTATCTTTCTCTTTGTTTTCTTCAAACAATCAAGAAAGTAAGAAATCATCATTTGTATTCTGCATGATCACATTGATTCATACAAAATCTAAGCTGCTTCACAATGGCGTCCACGCCTCCTCAAACTTCTAAGAAGGTCCGTAACAATTCCGGTAGCGGCCAAACCGTCAAATTCGCAAGACGAACATCAAGCGGACGATATGTAAGTTTATCTCGAGATAATATAGAATTATCGGGGGAGCTATCTGGAGACTATTCTAACTATACGGTGCACATACCTCCAACGCCAGACAACCAACCAATGGCCACCAAAGCTGAAGAGCAATACGTGTCCAATTCTTTATTTACTGGTGGTTTCAATAGTGTGACTCGTGCACATCTTATGGACAAGGTCATCGATTCAGATGTCACACATCCTCAAATGGCTGGTGCTAAAGGCTCTTCGTGTGCCATGCCTGCTTGCGACGGAAAAGTCATGAAAGACGAGAGAGGAAAAGACGTGATGCCATGTGAATGCCGGTACATATATATACACCGAACAAATAAGAAAAGAACATGCTGGAGTTTTCAATTTTTTTTTTTTTTTTTTTTTATTTTTACGTGACACCGAACAAATAAGAAAAGAACATGATGAAGCATTCAATTTTTTTTTTTTAAATAAAATATTACTATACACAATATACTCAAGGTTTCTAACCAACATGCATGGTGGTTGTTTAGGTTCAAGATCTGCAGGGATTGTTTCATGGACGCCCAGAAAGAGACAGGTCTTTGCCCCGGATGCAAAGAACAATACAAAATCGGGGATCTAGAGGATGATACACCAGATTTTTCTAGCGGTGCTCTTCCTTTACCAGCCCCGGGAAAAGATCAACGGGGCAACAACAACATGTCTATGATGAAGAGGAACCAAAATGGGGAATTTGATCACAACAGATGGTTATTTGAGACGCAAGGCACATATGGATACGGCAATGCGTATTGGCCACAAGATGAAATGTATGGAGATGATATGGATGAAGGAATGAGAGGCGGCATGGTCGAAACAGCTGACAAGCCATGGCGCCCGCTGAGTAGACGCATCCCAATCCCAGCAGCCATCATAAGCCCATACAGATTATTAATCGCTATTCGTTTTGTCGTACTATGTTTTTTCCTAACTTGGAGAATTCGAAACCCCAACGAAGACGCAATATGGTTATGGCTCATGTCTATCATCTGCGAGCTTTGGTTTGGGTTTTCATGGATTCTGGACCAAATCCCTAAACTGTGTCCTATAAACCGTTCTACTGATCTAGAAGTTCTTCGTGACAAATTTGACATGCCTTCTCCGTCTAACCCCACAGGGAGGTCCGATCTTCCAGGTATTGACCTCTTTGTGTCCACGGCAGATCCAGAAAAGGAGCCACCCCTTGTCACAGCCAACACTATGCTCTCCATATTGGCTGTTGATTATCCGGTGGAGAAGGTGTCATGCTACCTTTCTGACGATGGAGGAGCCCTTCTTTCCTTTGAAGCTATGGCTGAGGCTGCCAGCTTTGCGGATCTATGGGTGCCCTTTTGTCGCAAACATAATATCGAACCCCGGAATCCAGATACATATTTTAGTTTGAAGATAGATCCCACAAAAAATAAGAGCAGGATTGATTTTGTCAAGGACAGAAGAAAGATTAAGAGGGAGTATGATGAGTTCAAGATTCGTATCAACGCTCTCCCTGACTCGATACGCAGGAGGTCAGACGCATTTAATGCGAGGGAAGAAATGAAGGCCCTAAAGCAGATGAGGGAGAGCGGAGGTGATCCAACGGAACCTGTCAAAGTCCTCAAGGCGACGTGGATGGCTGATGGCACCCACTGGCCCGGAACATGGGCAGCCTCTGCTCGAGAGCATTCCAAAGGTGACCATGCTGGGATTCTGCAAGTCATGCTGAAACCTCCCAGCAGTGATCCTCTGATCGGCAACAATGACGACAAAATCATTGATTTCTCAGACACAGACACTCGATTACCTATGTTTGTCTATGTGTCACGTGAGAAGCGACCTGGCTATGATCACAACAAGAAGGCTGGAGCCATGAACGCACTTGTCCGTGCCTCTGCTATTCTCTCAAACGGACCTTTCATCCTTAATCTTGACTGTGATCACTACATCTACAATTGTAAGGCCATCCGAGAAGGGATGTGTTTTATGATGGACAGAGGCGGCGAAGATATTTGCTACATTCAGTTTCCACAAAGATTTGAAGGCATCGACCCTTCTGATAGATATGCTAACAACAACACTGTCTTTTTCGACGGTAATATGCGTGCTCTCGACGGTGTGCAGGTGAACTTTTCTTTTTATGAAGATGGATATTTCTATCAAAAAAAAAAAAAAAAAAATCATTGACACTTTATATATTTAAATGTATGCATGCAGGGACCGGTTTATGTTGGAACAGGTACTATGTTTAGGCGGTTTGCTCTCTACGGGTTTGATCCACCAAACCCTGACAAGCTTCTTGAGAAAAAGGAAACAGAGACAGAGGCCCTAACCACCAGCGATTTTGACCCAGACCTTGACGTCACACAACTTCCCAAGCGCTTTGGCAACTCTACACTCCTGGCTGAGTCAATTCCTATTGCAGAGTTCCAAGGCCGGCCTTTGGCAGACCACCCTGCTGTCAAGTATGGTCGTCCACCTGGAGCACTTAGAGTCCCTCGTGACCCACTTGATGCCACCACCGTGGCAGAGTCTGTTTCCGTGATCTCTTGCTGGTACGAGGACAAAACAGAGTGGGGAGATAGAGTGGGATGGATTTACGGGTCTGTTACAGAGGACGTGGTGACAGGGTACCGCATGCACAACCGAGGGTGGCGTTCTGTTTACTGCATCACCAAACGAGATTCTTTTCGAGGCTCTGCACCCATCAATCTCACAGATCGGCTTCACCAGGTGCTGCGATGGGCCACCGGCTCCGTTGAGATCTTCTTCTCCAGAAACAATGCCATTCTCGCCTCCAACCGTCTCAAGTTCCTCCAGCGTCTCGCATACCTCAATGTCGGAATATATCCCTTCACCTCTTTGTTTCTCATCCTCTACTGTTTTCTTCCGGCCTTCTCTCTCTTCTCTGGACAGTTTATCGTACGGACACTCAGTATAGAATTCTTAGTCTACCTCCTCATAATCACTATCTGTTTGATTGGTTTGGCCGTGTTGGAAGTCAAGTGGTCTGGCATTGGGCTCGAAGAGTGGTGGAGAAATGAGCAGTGGTGGCTTATCTCTGGAACAAGCTCTCACCTTTACGCTGTAGTCCAGGGAATACTTAAAGTCATTGCAGGGATCGAAATCTCTTTTACCTTGACCTCCAAGTCAGGAGGAGATGACAATGAAGACATATACGCTGATTTGTACATAGTCAAGTGGTCGTCGCTCATGATTCCCCCCATAGTGATAGCCATGGTGAACATTATAGCCATCGTGGTGGCCTTCGTCAGAACAATTTACCAAGCGGTGCCACAGTGGAGCAAGCTAGTTGGAGGAGCTTTCTTCAGCTTTTGGGTCTTGGCACATTTGTATCCTTTCGCTAAAGGATTAATGGGACGGAGAGGCAAAACTCCAACCATTGTTTTTGTGTGGGCAGGTCTGATCGCCATTACCATCTCTCTTCTGTGGACGGCCATTAACCCAAACACTGGTGCTGCTGCTGCCGGTGAAGGCGCCGGAGGTGGTGGTTTTCAGTTCCCTTAGAACATGAGTTTTGTAGACTACTCTTAACAAATATGCATTTACTTTTTCTTTTTTTTTGGGTTTGTTTCTGGTAGAAAAAAATTCTCTTGACTATTCTGGAGTGAGATTTCATGGATCATGATTGTATAATGCGATTGTATCATTTCTCGGTTTTTAGAGCATGTCCATCAGTGATACCTCATATGAGTATCACAATATTTTTTATTTATATTTTCATTAAGTTTTTTTTGTTTAAGAGTCAAGGGTTTCATATATGTTTTGTGGTTCCAGCAGTGATACCCTCGTAGTGAATAAGACCCACCTTTCATTCTTTTTCTCTTTTCTTTTTCTTTTTTTTAATTTTTTTATTCAACCAACCACAACCTGACACATATGGGTATATGGGTATCAAGAAAGTTGCCAAAATCTCTTCGTGTAGATACGTATCAAGCTTAATTGTGGAATAAAACATTTCTTTTAAAACAATTTCAGTTTGAGACTCACCTAAAAACTGGTGTAGAGACCCCGATGGACATGCTCTTATACGATACCCTTGGTCGTTCTAAGAGCATCCACATTGGTGATACTCAAATAGAGCTCTTTAAACATTTTTTATATTAAAAATAACAATATTTTAATTTTAGAGTTTTTGTAAGGATTAGAGAAATTTTAGCTCCCCATTGGAGAACCCAATGTGGGTTCTTTAATTTTTTTTTTTTTTTTTTTTTCTCAAAATTTGTTAAATTTATAGAGATTGAAAATTATGAAAATATTCATATTAAGACTTGGGATACAGAAAAATGTGATTATCCTTTGATTTGGGATACATGACCTTCAGTGAGACTTGTGTTCCCACCATTCCATGAACTTAACTTGAGCCGCCATTGTGTCCACCTTATAGGGCTGCAGCGCGTGGTTCGCGACTTCTTGCCCAAAGGTCCAACCAAATACACCTCCTCCTAAGAGGGACAATGCAGAAAAAGCAATACCACACAAGAAAAAAAACAAAGAGACAAATAAAGAGATCAAGACATATAAAGAGATCAACAATTATAAAACTACCACTGACTTAACCATCAACGGACTCTTGTGGAATACAAGATCCATGATGCTATAATCACTTTCTTCCACGAGTTAACCTCTGCAAATGGTAGTTAATGTTTCCCCAAGACTTGGACTTTTGATCAGCCTGCAAAGAAAACAAAAAAAGATTCATCATTTTGACAAAAGTAGTGAACAAGATAAGTTAAATTGGGTGAAAAAATGCATATAGTAAAGATTGACCTGGCCTTGCATACAAACGCTCCAGCAGCAGGAACCAACTTCAAGCAACTCTGTCCAAGCCCTTTCTACCAACCAAGAATACCTTCATGTTCAAGTATGCTCACCAGAGCATCCAACATGTTTGCCAGAGTCAACTCCATTTCAGTCTCAACAATTTTGCTCTTAAAATCTCTAATAACAATGACATAATGTGACATTACAGGTAAAAACAAAAAAGTGGAATCAACCAAAATGCATATCAGAAATTTCAACTTACTTGCATCCTAAAATCATTAACTTGTCATCCACCGTAAGAACCTTAGGCTTCTACATTCCCAAAGACCTTAAAACTATTGGATTAATAAGAATGACTCTTTCGTAAACAAACCAAAATATCTTCAAGGCCAAACCTGATCATAACTCTTCTTAAGCATATTATTGAGTATCACTCTGTTCTCTGAATCTTGTCATAACCTAATCATACGAAATAAAAAAACAAACTAAGATTAGCATGAAGAAATATCGAATGGCAACCTAGCTTGATCGATACAAATTCACGAAGTAAAGAACAGAGTTTGTCACTCCAAAGATTCATTCAAGACAATCAATCAAACACTAAACAACCAAAAGAGCACAACATGGCTAACAAATCACAATTTGACCAAAGAAACGCAAGAATCAATACTGAAACGAGAAGAAAAATATTCTACTTTATTCTTCCCTGAGAAGAATAGTAATCAATACCGACATCTTCCATTCCTAATCAACGAAACCAGCAAGCGAAATGAGATTTAAGAGAGAGAGATCACAGAAGAACAAGAGAGCATTAGAGATCCCGAATGAATCAAATCCTAGATTTCCGAGGTTCTTCAATTTGTAAATTAGGGATTCAGAAGAATTAAAAATTTGGGTGCCAAAGGGGTAAATAAGAGAAGATTTTTGGTGAGGGGGAGAAGAACAAGAGAGACTTGTGGTGTTTATATTATCGGAAAAGAATAAGAAGAAGGAGAGGTAGATCGAAGAGAAAGGAGAAGAAGAGGAAGACGAAGAACGAAGATTGAAGGGAAGGAGAAAAAAAGATTTCGAAGAACAGAAAAAAAAAATTAATTTCGCGCGGTGCGCTCTCCTTCCGACACGTGTAGAGTAGAACCAGTTCGAAAAGCTCTGCGGCGAGAGTCGACTCTGGGCTTGGGCTTTGACAGATGTGTAAATAATTTTATTTTTATTTACTTTTAGACTCCAGAACCCCTGAGAGTGTCTAATGCGGTTGCTCTAAGAGCATGTCCAGCGGAGGAGTCTCAGGATCGTTTTTAAGTGGGTATCAGGCTGATTTTTCTTTAAAAAATAATGTTTTAATCACATAATATGGCTGAGACGTATGTAGAAGAAGAGACGAATCAGCTCTGCTGATACCCTGACGTGTCACCCTGTGGTTGGGTAATTAAAAAAAAAAGTAAAATGGAAAAAGGAAGAAATCGCATATCCCAATTTCCTCGACATCTCCGAATCTGACATTTCCGTCGTGAACGAATCCGACTCCGTCACCGGATTTTTCTTCTTCATGCCGTTAGAGTTCGTCGCCGTGGTGGAGATCCCCGGATTCGTCATGCTTTGTGGATCGGCGAGATTAATTCTCTCTCCCTAAACTCTTATTCGTGATCTTTGTGTGTAGTATTAATCTCATAAGAAGTTTTGTTCTGGTTTTCCTTGAAATGCATTATCTCGTTGCTTGAAATTGGTATTAGCTGATTGAGAATGTTTGTTTTGTTCTTTGCATCAACTGGTTTCAATTCGTTTATATGTGTTCTGAATCGTGCTCTGCCTCTTATAGATTCATTTGATTTCTATTGCATTGATGTTTCCTTTTTGTAAGATCAATTTTTGGATTGTGGATCATACGTGTCATTGAGTTTCTATGATATTTTCTTTCTTATGTCATTGTGTTCACCCTGAGAATCTACAGTTCTGGGGTTAGAAACAATGGTCTTCTGACGCCTCATTGATCTGTTGTTGTTAACCAATGTCTCGTTTATGGATAGTGTGGTAACTTTGGGATTTGTTGTTACAATGATACGAATCCGATTTGCTTGTGCCCGTCTCGTAACTTTGATCTTGTTGATGTGAGTAATAGAAGAAAAAGACTGCAAGAGATATGAGTGTTGATAAGCATTGGAGGGAGAAGAATTATGAGGAGATGGTTGAATGAGATTGGTATATTTTCAAGGAAGATTTCGACATATCTTACAAAGGAATCAAGATTCTAGGGTGGTTTAAGTAGACGGTACTTATGTTATTGTTTTACTTTCAAAAATCTTTGATGTTCACAAGACCAATAGTAGTATCTTTCTTATGTCTGATTGTTTCAGAAAGTGTTTTGCGAGCTGATGTGTGAGAATTTTGTTACAAGGTCATGTGTGGAGATTATCTTCAAGAAAGGAGATAACTTGTGCAAGCTTTACACAATGGCAGGAGACTCAAAAATCTTCCAAAGATAAACACAGATCTCTCTCGATGTTCATAATGATAATTCTGATATACTTGTTTGAATCTTGGTCTTTGTTTTGCTTCCGTTTGTTGGTGTTATTGGTTTCTCAGATAGAAATGTTTTAAACTTTTGCAATTATCTATTGTAATTGTTTTATGGCTTGAATACTGTAAGTCTTTGTAATGATTTAGTTTTTTAAAAAAGTATTTTATTTATAACATAATAATTTTTTTTTAAGATACTAGGGTATCACCAATGGAAGAGCAAAACTTATAAATCTAATGCAAGTCTCTTAAACAAAAAAATCAGAAAAATTATTAATAAAAAATGTTGTGATAGGTATCACTAATGGACATGCTCTAACATTCACAACCGGAAAGCTGTGAAAATGGGCCAAGTTGGGCCTTAAGTAAAAGAAGGAGTAGGCCTTTGGGCTTTGGGTAAAAAGAAGAGAAACACCTTCCCTGCGTCGTCGTGAGTCGCGACTCTCGCTCCCACCCTCCGTCTCTCCCCTCCGCTCTGCCTTGGTCCCTCTTTCTCTTCTTCCTCTCCTTTCTTCTCTCACACAATCTTCTAACTTCCCCCTATCTCTTCTTTTCTGCCTTCCCCCCCGCACGAACCCTGGTCACATATTCCCTCATCATCGCTGCGTATCTGGATTTCCTCAGATCACAAAATTTTTATCGAAATCACAAGTGACTGTAAGTGGTTTTTATACTTTTGATAGCTATTTCTGTGGACGATGCCTTTCCGTGGTGTTCTAAATACTTGATGCATGACAGGATATGGATAATGAAGTGCTGGATTTCGATATTGGTGTAGGAGTTAGTAGTGGGGGAGATGTAGATGACGACGCGATTGATATCGAGCACCATTCCATCGACGAGGATGATATGCTGGACAGCCCTATGCCTTTGGGCAATTCTGATGCCGGAAATTACTTTCCCGAGGATCTGGAGCCTTATGATGGTCTGGAATTCGAGTCCGAAGAAGCTGCCAAGGCTTTCTACAACTCGTACGCGCGTCGTATTGGGTTTAGCACCCGTGTCAGTTCCTCCAGGCGCTCCCGGCGAGATGGCGCTATCATACAGAGGCAATTCGTCTGTGCGAAAGAAGGTTTCAGGAATATGAACGAAAAGCGAACCAAGGATAGGGAGATCAAGCGCCCGAGGACGGTTACAAGAGTTGGATGCAAAGCCTCCCTCTCGGTTAAGATGCAGGATTCCGGTAAATGGCTCGTCTCTGGGTTTGTGAAAGAGCACAACCATGAGCTGGTTCCTCCGGACCAGGTTCATTGCCTGCGCTCGCATAGGCAAATCTCAGGCCCAGCTAAGACCTTGATAGACACTTTGCAAGCTGCAGGAATGGGCCCCCGCAGGATAATGTCCGCCCTGATCAAAGAGTATGGGGGCATAAGCAGGGTTGGCTTCACCGAAGTGGACTGTAGGAACTACATGAGGAACAATCGGCACAAGAGCATTGAAGGAGAGATCCAGCTTCTTCTCGACTACTTGAGGCAGATGAATGCCGACAACCCAAACTTCTTCTATGCTGTACAGGGAAGCGAAGACCAGTCCGTGGGCAACGTCTTCTGGGCTGATCCAAAAGCTATAACGGATTTCACTTACTTTGGGGATACTGTTACCTTTGATACCACCTACAGGTCCAACAGGTACCGTCTGCCTTTCGCACCTTTCACCGGTGTAAACCACCATGGACAACCCATTCTCTTTGGCTGTGCCTTTATCATTTGTGAGACCGAGGCTTCCTTTGTATGGCTTTTCAACACGTGGCTTACAGCAATGTCCGCCCACCCTCCTGTCTCCATCACCACCGACCATGATGCGGTTATACGTGCAGCCGTCATGCAGGTTTTTCCAGCCGCCCGCCACCGCTTTTGCAAATGGCATATCTTCAAAAAATGTCAGGAAAAGTTGTCGCATGTCTTCCTCAAGCATCCTTCTTTTGAGTCTGATTTCCACAAATGTGTCAATCTCACCGAGTCGGCTGAGGACTTTGAGTCCTGCTGGTTTTCACTTGTTGACAGATATGAGCTCAGAGATCACGAGTGGCTACAAGCAATATACTCCGATCGCCGCCATTGGGTCCCTGTATATCTGCGTGATACCTTTTTTGCCGAAATGTCCTTGACTCAGCCAAGTGACAGTATGAATTCTTATTTTGATGGTTATATCAACGCTTCAACCAATCTAAGCCAGTTCTTTAAGCTGTATGAAAAAGCTTTGGAGAGTCGCCTCGAGAAAGAAGTTAAAGCAGATTATGATACATTGAACTCACCTCCTCTTCTCAAGACTCCATCTCCAATGGAGAAGCAGGCGTCTGAACTTTACACTAGGAAGTTGTTTATGAGATTTCAGGAGGAACTAGTTGCAACTTTGACTTTCATGGCATCCAAAGCTGATGATGATGGGGATCTTGTTACCTACCAGGTTTCGAAATATGGAGAGGCCCACAAGGCTCATTTCGTTAAGTTCAACGTTTTGGAGATGAGAGCAAACTGCACTTGCCAGATGTTTGACTTCTCTGGCATCATATGCAGACACATACTGGCAGTCTTCCGGGTCACCAATCTCCTTACACTTCCACCTTACTATATCCTAAAAAGATGGACCAGAAATGCCAAAAGCAGTGTTATATTTGATGATTATGGTTTGCACGCCTATGCTAACTACCTGGAGTCTCATACTGTCCGATACAACACCTTGCGCCACAAGGCTTTTAATTTTGTGCAAGAAGCAGGAAAATCTATGTATACTTGTGATGTCGCTGCAGTTGCTCTGCAAGAAGCTGCCAAGACTGTGTCCTTGGCAATGAAAAATGAAGTTAGGAGAACTTTGGCTAACGGGCATGTTAAAGAGAGTTCTGTAACTGATGGAAAACGGATGTTCTGCAATGAGGGCTGTCAGCAAGAAGTGCCGGCACAACCCGAACCCGAACCCGAGGTGAGGATCATTTTCTTTTCGAAGCTTGTTATTTTGATAAAAGTGATGATAAGTTCGTTTCTCTACCACATTTCATACATCAACAATATTTGATATTTCTGCGAAAAAGTATCGTTTGTTCTGGTTTTGCTCCTTACAATTGATTTGTCTCCTTGATGATATTATATGCTATTTCTCGGTTATGGTTTGACTAATGAGCTCGTGAGTTCACGTACAAGTCTTGTTCTTCGCATGGTCTTCATTTTTTCATCGTGAGCATGCAATCTCACAAATCTACAAGGTCCTCAAGTTTGTTATGTGCTTCCAATTGTATGACCATGTTGCCTCCACTTTTGCAGGACGAAATGGACAAGAAGATTAATCAGCTCAGAAACGAGCTGGAATTAGCAAACAGGAAATGTGAAGCATACAGGTCTAACCTACTTTCAGTCTTGAAAGAAATTGAAGATCAAAAGTTACAAGTGTCCATCAAAGTGCAGAACATCAAAATTAGCTTGAAGGATAATCTCTGAAAAAAGCAACAAGTTTTAAACTGGCCATCTTATCTGGTCTTTCATATGATTGCTCATGTACAATATAATATCTTAGGGTTTTTGAAGAAGGGACCCAATTTTCAGGATTTCCCTGTTACAGTAGGTAGTCTTTGTACTCCCGATCATTTCTTCAATGAGTAAGAGCATGAAGTTGATTCGCATATTGATTCGCATATATGTTTGCAATTGTATCCAGCAGGTTGCGTTCACTCTTTCAAGCTTAGTCTAGCATGTTGTACCTTGAGAGACAGCTGAAACTTCTGATCTTCCATATCTCTCAAAACAGAGAGCAGGTTTGCTCGATAAACTTCACATCGCTGACCTGTCCTCTCCAGTTCAGCTGTCAGTTCAAGTATCTTCCCCTCCTTTTCACCCTGACAGTAAAGCTAGAATACTTATTCTCAAAGAACAGAGAAGATCAACGTCATAAAAACTATCATCATAGATACATATATTCGCTTACCCCTGGATGATTCACTGTGTCTTGAGAAGGGTACGAATCCCCCCCGTTAGCAAGTGTCGCTCCTCTAGTTCTGCTACTTGCGGCAGCAACCTTCTTGGCAGCTTCATCTAAGGCATCCATGGCAGCTTTATAAACCTGAATAGATTTGGCGCCCTCCTCCACATACTTGGTTGCTTCTTGGCGTAGATTGTCGTAGGAGGCGGTTAAAGATACGTCTGAAAACTCGGCTTGTTCCTCAGCGTCTCTAGTCTTTGCTTCTTTGGTCCATCGCCTTAGTAGATACCGAGATGGAAGAGTAAGAACATTTTGGGCCCTGAATACCGCCAATATGTGTCTGCATATAATCCCTGAATACTCGAACATTTGACAGCTGCAAGTAGCGCTCTCCTCAAGAGAGTCAAAACTGACAGTATGAGCTCTGTGAACTTGTCGGAACTTAGCCACACAATAAGTGGAGCGCGTTCCCGAATCACTAACCCTATTGGCAGGGTTTGCAAGGGTCTCAACAAACTCCTCCTGAAACCTGAGGAACGCCGCCCTGGTATAAAGGCTAGCAGCTTGCTTCTCCATGGGAGATGGCGTCTTCAAAACTGGAGTCGCTTCATAATCTGCTTGCACTTCTTTCTCACGCCAAGCATCAACTGCTTTCTCATACTGGTTTATGAGCATTTGCATGGTCGTTGATGAGTCCACAAACCCTTGGAAGAATGAGTTGAACAAATCATTTGCAGACGGAGAGGGAGACGGAGACAGCTCTCCATAAAAGGTGTCTCGAATAAAAACAGGGGCCCACTGTTGCCTGGCATTGTAAATGGACTGGAGCCAGTCGCTATCCTGTAGATAATATCTAGCGAGGATGGAGTCCCAAGACGCCTCAAACTCAGCAGCCGTATCTGTCTCAGTAATGCAATCAATGAATTCGGACTCGAAGCTAGGATGAGACTGAAAGACGTGGGCAAGTTTCTCCTGAGTTTCCCTGAAGATGAGGGAGAGGCTGAAACGAAGGCGGGTCTGACCAAAAACTTGAGAAACAGCAACCTGTATCAACCGGTCTGGTTCGATGGTGATAGAAGGAGGAGGGGGAGCAGACATTGCTTGAAGCCAAGTCTGGAAAAGCCACACAAAAGAGGACTCGGACTCGTGGAGCATGAGAGCACAACCAAAGAGAAGAGGCTGCCCATGATGGTTGAAGCCGGTGAAGGCAGCAAATGGCACTTGATACCTCTTACCCGTCCTGTAGCTGGTGTCAAACACAACAGTGTCACCAAAGTAGCTGTAATTCAACCTGCAACTTGGATCCGCCCAGAAAACATTCCCACCACCCTCCTCTATTGCATACAAGAAGCCAGGATTCTCCAGCTGCCTACGTTTCAGATAGCTCATTACATGCTCGCTCATCTTTCCACCAATCCTGCAATTAATCAACTACCAATTAGAAGCCAATGACCAAGCAGTACCCCAGAATGACTCTATCTCTCCAACAACACACAGCTGCGATTATTATAGCCACTTACAAGATAATTAGGCTACAAGCCCACTCTTGTCCGTCACTGAATCAATGGCTTCCGCGATCCGGCGGAGTATTCTGATTTCTGAACGACCTGTTGAATCCAAACTCGCCCTGCCGTTTCTAACATCCCAAACGGCAAGCAGTTTATAGGAAACAAAAGTTGCGGGCAGGGCCTAGTTCTCGTCCTTTAAATTTGGGCCCTTATATAGATATAATATTTGGGTTATGGAATTGCATAGTTTATTGGGCCTTGGCTACTACTTGCACTTTACAGCTGTTTTTGTTTTGTTTACTCTTTCTCACCAAAAAATAACACAAACCTTTCATTAACGAAGGGATTTTACTGGAAAGAGCATTTGAATTTTGAAGCAAACAGTTTGGCCGTCACAAACCACATGTCCTGTGACCAATTGTGAGCTTTTGACTCCATATACTTGTTGAATTTGTCCACAAGCTCGTATTTTGATCCTCTGTAAGAAACATTTGTCGGCTACAAGTCACAGGTACATGTTCTTCTCCTGATAAGTGCCTATATCTCCCTCAAAACATATGCAACAAGAGAATGGAATCGATGATATATCTGGATAAAGCTCGTGCCAGACATAGCTTACAGAGAGAAACTAATGAAGGAAAACTAGAGAGATGAAAAGCTAGAAGCTTGCAGAGGATGAAGTTGCCACCGAAAAGCCAAACTTTTCATGGAATTTCTTTGTGTTACAGTCGAGCATTTCTCTAAGGCTGCAGTCAATGTTGTTCTTTTTGACAAGCTTATAACGTGATTCTACCTTCTTCTTCAATCCATGCTGAAAGAAGTCAGGATAAGTGGCCACTTCATCCATGCCCCTTCCCATCACCTCCACTAGGAATCTGATTCTCGGTGCTAGTGAATTCTTAATACTCTTGATCAGAATTGGGGGATAACCAGCCACCATGGTTGCTATCTGCGCATCCACAAACCCACACTCCCTCAAGTAGTCATAATTTGGTTTGAGGATCTTGTCCACGTCTCTGCACACAACTTGCGGAAAATTCATGACCACAGACTGAATGCCATCCTCTGTGAGACCAACGGGTGATTTCAAGAATTCAGTGGTAGGCCGCAACCTTTTCTCAACACTGTACCCCATAAGAAAAGGGTGCTTCACGAGAACTCTACCGATCATCCCATCTTGGTCAAGGCCGAGACTGGCGAGAAAGCTGACGATGAGGGTGAGCTTGGTGTCGATGCTGTAGCTGATGAGCCTGGGGTTAAAAAGTATCATTTTGCCAAGTTGAGGCTCAGGCACACCCAATGCTTGGAAGAAAGCAAGAAGGGGACAGAGTTTCTCCTCCACGCTATGAGACAGAATGGGAGGGAATTTGGTGATGGCGGAAGCGACTTCCCGAGGCTTCCTTCCTAGCGTGGAGAGACACTCTACCATGGGGATGAGCCTCTCATCGAGACGTAAAGTCAGGATTTTGGGGCATCTCGAGACGATGTAAGGGAGCTTTCTCTCTTGGATACCAACAATGTTTCTCAGGTAGTCCCAGTTTTCAGATGCCACCTCGCTTTGGGCCTTCTCCAAGTGCTTGCATTTCCTCAACATCTTGTCGATGCTCGGCTCATCAAAACCTTTCTCCCTGAAGAACCACATGATGCCGCTGCTGGAATTTGTGACCTCCATCGACGCCACGCCACGCCACTACAACAAGGAGAACCCAACAATCTCTGTTTCAGTGATTCGAGCTTGAACAAGTAAGTAGAGGGAGAGAGTGAGAGAGAGGAGACCCATATACCTTGGACAAGAGTGAGACTTTCCACTTTCTTCCGCCTATCCAATTGGAGAAGTGAGAGTAGAAATGGTTTGGAGAAGAAGCTTAAAGCTTAAAGCTTAAAGCTTATCCGCAGATTGGGTTTTCTTTCTTATACCCTTACAATGTAAATTACCAGTATAGCCCTAAGGTAAGGTCTTTTCCGCATGACTTCTCCCCATTTGATCCCATCATCCCTCTCAATCCTCTCAATCCACAAACCCTAAACCCTTGGAATCACTGCAATGGCGCCCTCCTCGAAAGCCGTCGTTTTTGCGAGGCAGATGGCGAAGAAGATTCGTGTTACGACGCCGTCGTTGTCCGGAACGCGATTCGTCTCAACCGGGGACAATAGTCAACAAGAGCAGCAGCAGAACCCTCCAGAGCCTTTACCCAACAGACCCTTGCGAGGGGAGAGATCTTCCAGAGAAGCCCTCAGCCTTGATAGCACTCTGTCTGACCATGGCTTCCTCGAACAGTTCAAGCTTGGAGTCCATGAGGATCCACAGGAACAAAAATCCCAACCCCAAGAGGAAACAAGCCAGCCCTTACAGGAGCCGCCTGAGGACTCCGATGAGATCTTCGGTAAGATGAAGGAAGGCGGTCTCATTCCTAACGCGGTCGCGATGCTTGACGGCCTCTGCAAAGATGGGCTTGTACAGGATGCCATGAAGCTCTTCGGGCTGATGCGTGACAAGGGTACAATCCCTGAGGTCGTTATCTACACTGCTGTCGTTGAGGGCTTTTGCAAGGCTCACAAAATTGAAGACGCCAAGAGGATTTTCGGGAAAATGCAGACCAATGGGATTTCACCAAATGCCTTCAGCTACGGCGTCTTTGTTCAGGGATTGTACAACTGCAACATGCTAGACGATGCTCTTCATGTCTGTGGTGAGATGCTCGAGTCTGGTCACTCTCCCAACATCCCCACCTTCGTTGGACTGGTTGATGCCTTGTGCAGAGAACAGGGCGTCGAACAAGCCCAGTCCGCTATCCATAGCTTAAACCAAAAAGGATTCGCTGTTAATCTAAAGGCTGTCAAGGAGTTCATGGACAAAAAGGCCCCCTTTCCGTCTTTGGCTTGGGAAGCCATATTCAACAAGAAACCAACCGAGAAACCCTTCTGATTCTTCTCTCACTTACGCATTTCTCTTGTTAGGTATGCCGTCTCGTTGTAATAACAACCTTGGAACATTAATTTCAATCAGTTTTCTCTTCTGCTTGGAGTCTATTTAGAGTCCCCCAATCCATGCCTTCTAATGACTTGATATGATTGCAAGCTCAATTAATAGGTGTTGCGTTGAATTGTAGATTTGGCATTGCGTTGGCTGCTTCAACTAGGCATAAAACTACACCACTAGAGTCTAGAGTCAACAACAAAATAGTTTTATAACTCACTCGGAGATCTTTAGTTGATTTGGTCGGCTGTATTATATATTCTTGAACTCAAACTCAAGGCCTGTTTTGGTGGAAGGACTCGTTGCTTTTAAATATGTATACTACTAGCACTAGTAGTAGATATGCATGCCCTTGACTAATGACTATGTTATGTGATGAATCCGAGGTGAGTTGGGTGGGTGGTGGTGCATCACATTGCCATCTTTTGTTTCTTACGGTACTGCGTCATGTGATTCTTGCATTGTTTGTTTCCTCCATGTCATTGCTATTATTTATATGCAAGTATGAGGTAATGCTTAAGATGAAAGCATGTGCATCTCGTACGTTGACCAATGACCATAACCTGTCCGAGAGTAAAGAAAAACAACAAATGAGTATATAATAAGAAGGATAGGGGGGTGGGGTCGGCGCCGTCCCTACACTCTGCCGGTTAAATGATCATCTCGGAGATGAAGTTAGTGTATAAAATAGAGGGCAAGGGAGTGAGGTAGAGAAGCAGAAAGCTGAAGAAAGATGATTTCCTTGTTGTTTCCGCGGTCGCCTTTGTGCACAGCAGCCATAGTTTTCTACACATGTGTGTGCGTTCCCTTGTGGAGGTTGAACAAGAAGTGTGGGGATGCGGAAGCGCATGATGACGGTGAGGGTTACCAACTAACAGGTGTGATGTTCGGGGACAAGGAAAAAGAGGAGGAGATTTGCTGCCCCATATGCCTTGTGGAGTTTGAGACTGAGGATGCTGTGACCCATCTCCCTAGATGCACTCATCTCTTTCATATCCACTGTATTGAACCTTGGCTTCTCCGTGGCCATCTCACTTGCCCTCTATGCAGATCTTTTGTCTTCACTCCTACCCACAATGTCTATAGTGCCCCCTCCTGTTCCACCTTTCATCTCTCTCTTTTCTTCCTCTTGTGTCTCTTTCTCCATCTACTTGGATACTTGTAGCATTTCTTTATATATATTTTTTGTCTTCATTACCAAGCACATAATGCGTTCATGTCTCCATATCAACAAGATTCTGTGATTTTTATGATAAACACTAAACAGAGACAAAAGCAGGACTAATTAGTAATTACTTACTAGTTAGTTACCTGATCTCGTTGCTCTCTGTTTCCCAATAGATTTTATTCTACAATGTCAAACATTATCGCCTTAAGATTAAGGAAATATTCATGATTGATTTGATTGAATGCTTTAGCCTTTAGTAAGAAAAGAAGTAAGAAGGAGACTGGTCTCATCCAATTAGTAAGTGGGCCTTAAACAGACTGAAACTGGGCCTTCCACTCAATATAAGAAAAAGGTAACAGAATATTGGAGAGGAGAAAGAGAGTAGTAGGCTACTACGGGTTCCAGGGCACACAGCGAAGCTCCCGTCGCCGAGGAGGAACAAATCCAGAGATTCGCCGACTGTGAACAGCTGATCCACGCCTTACCCTACCGAAAGGTCAGTCTCTCTTCCTTGTCTGCGTCGATTCCATTTTCCTTGGTTTGAGTCTGCCTCGCCGTGTTTGTGTTTCCTTCAGATATGATTAGGCCCTTTCTCACTCTCACTTAGTTGTAGCTGTAGTTGTGGTGTAATCCTCCTCAGTCAGTCCTCACTCCTTTTAATCACCTAACGGTTTCTCATTCGCACTGCTCTCTCCTAGGGTTTTGTTTGTTTCTAATTGTTTTTTCATCGTCGATTGGCGTGCAGAGAGGGCATGGATACCGGCGGCAATTCGCTTGCGGCCGGACCTGATGGCGTGAAGAGGAAAGTTTGCTACTTCTACGACCCGGAGGTCGGGAATTACTACTATGGCCAAGGTCATCCCATGAAGCCACACCGCATCCGCATGACCCATGCCCTTCTCGCTCATTACGGTCTCCTCCAGCATATGCAGGTTCTCAAGCCCTTTCCTGCCCGCGACCGTGATCTCTGCCGCTTCCACGCCGACGACTATGTCTCCTTTCTCCGCAGCATCACCCCTGAAACCCAGCAAGACCAGCTTCGTCAACTCAAGCGCTTCAACGTTGGTGAAGATTGCCCCGTCTTTGACGGTCTTTATTCTTTTTGCCAGACCTATGCCGGGGGCTCTGTTGGTGGCTCTGTCAAGCTCAACCATGGCCTCTGCGATATTGCCATCAATTGGGCTGGTGGTCTCCATCATGCTAAGAAGTGCGAGGCCTCTGGCTTCTGCTACGTCAATGATATCGTCCTAGCTATCCTAGAGCTTCTTAAGCAGCATGAGGTTTGTCTCTATCTCTCTCTCTCTCTCTCCCACTGGTTCTTACTCCACTTTTAGTTCTGGCTTCTGAATCTTTTGCTCTTCCTCTCTTATTTGTAGCGTGTTCTTTATGTTGATATTGATATTCACCATGGCGATGGTGTGGAGGAGGCCTTTTATGCTACTGACAGGGTCATGACTGTTTCATTCCATAAATTTGGGGACTACTTCCCCGGTACAGGTCATATACAAGATATTGGTTATGGAAATGGAAAGTACTATTCTCTCAATGTACCTCTGGATGATGGAATCGATGATGAGAGTTATCATCTGTTATTCAAGCCCATCATGGGTAAAGTGATGGAAGTTTTCCGACCAGGTGCCGTGGTCTTGCAATGTGGTGCTGATTCTTTGTCTGGCGATAGGTTGGGATGCTTTAATCTCTCGATCAAAGGTCATGCTGAGTGTGTCAAATTTATGAGATCGTTCAATGTTCCCCTACTGCTCTTGGGTGGTGGTGGTTACACTATTCGCAATGTTGCCCGTTGTTGGTGCTACGAGGTACTTTCTTTTGTTTATTGTGTGCTGCTCTAGCTTTTTGAACAGTTATCAGATTTCTTTGGCTTTTCTTTTTATTTTCTTTTTTTCACTTCTACTACTCTCTTCAAGTCTTTTGCAACAAACTGTTTATCTGACAGACTGGAGTTGCACTTGGGGTTGAAGTTGATGACAAGATGCCAGAGCATGAATATTATGAATACTTCGGTCCCGACTATACACTTCACGTTGCTCCCAGTAACATGGAAAATAAGAATACTCGCCAGATGCTTGAAGAGATTCGTAATGACCTTCTCCAAAATCTCTCTAGGCTTCAGCATGCTCCAAGTGTGCCATTTCAGGACAGGCCACCAGAAACAGAGGCTCCCGAGGTAGGAAATCAGTTTGAAGTCCAGTCTTTCTTCTCTAGTCGAATATTTCTTGCATTTACTCATGGCTTTTGGTTAGATTATGTAAGTGTAACTACAGTTGCGGTTAGAATTTTCAAATTTAAACAGTTGGGGATGGCGAATAATGTTTGTATCATTATTCTTTGATGGGTGACTCTGGTTGTCTACCAATCTACGTGTTGTGTGTAAATTACAGGTAGATGAAGACCAAGAAGATGCAGATAAAAGATGGGATCCGGATTCTGACATGGATGTAGATGATGACCGGTATGAATATATATATATATATATATATATATATATATATATGCTTCCTTTAATTTTCTTCTTCTTCTTTTTCTTTTCTTATATTTTCGTAGTGTTTACTTAATTAATTAACTCATTGTGCAGTAAACCTATGTCAGGCAGAGTCAAAAGAGAAGCCGTTGAACCTGATACAAAGGATAAGGTAATACAAGATGATCTCTTATTCGCCTTGATTGCTCAAACATTTAAGTAACTAGTTCATCTAGGTTGTTGATTGATAACACCAATTCGACTCTTTCTCTCATCACCTAAAAAGTCCAGAACGATTCTCATTCTGACATTAGTCAGTCACCCGAGGCTAATGAATCTTCAGCTATGGTCCAATACGTAGAGCCTAGAATGGCCCAACAGCTGACTTGAGTAGAAAATGTGACCTGCTAGTGCTTGCCAAGCTGAATGCCTACAACGCTCTCTTCTGAGCTAGACTCTATTGTTAGTTTAGAATGCAATTTACTTGGAAATATGAAGAGATTGATTTGTTTATGATGACTGTGTTAGTGCAGGATGGACTGAAAGGACTTATGGAGCGTGGGAAAGGTTTTGAGGTGGGCAAGGATGAAAGTGGAAGCACAAAGGTGAATTGAAACTATAGACCTGAGAGAGGACTGAGGCCAGGAATGGTTTTCTAAAGTGGTTGGTTTGGACTGGTTGCAGGTCACAGGAGTAAACCCAAACCCAAACCCAGTGGGAATGGAGGAGGCAAGTGTGAAAATGGAAGAGGAAGGAACAAACAAGGCTGGGGCGGATCTACTGTTTCCTAAAACATAAGACTTCATTCATGGAGCTTCTCATTTCTTGTGTTTCTTTTTTTTTTTCTTTCTAATGGAATTATGACGAGACGAGGTTATCTCCTTTTGCGCCTTGGGCCGACCGTCGAAATTTGCTTCTCCTAAACCAACAAACCTACATTCTAGTATACCGTATTTGTGTATTTGTTTTAGGTCTCGAAAAGAACATCCAACCTGGTTAGAATATGCCCAACCTGTAGAATGGGTTAAGCTCTATGACGGACTAAGATTATTGGAGGCATTGAGCCCATTTTAAGGCCCAAGTAAATGAGCCCAATTGGGATTCCTCTCTTTCACGTCAGAAATCGTTACGTCACTCTCTTTCCTCCCTCCGACTCTCTCTCTCTCCGTCTTTCTCTGATTGCTCGGTGATTCCTCCGGAAATGAACATGTTCACGGCGGCAGCTTCGTCAAGTGCGGGAAGGTGGCGGACGGCGTTTCTATCTCTCAGGGACGAAACCTCAACCACTCCACCGCCTCCGGTTCCTCTGTTGCTTGAGGATCTACTCTTCTCGCACTCCCAATCCCTTCTCTCTGCCGTCTCTCTCCTCCCACCGCACGAGCTCACTTCGGATTGCTTGTTCCTGCTCGATTTGGTTTCCAAAGCTGATGGTCCTGACTGGATCCTTGTTTCTCGTCATACTTGTCAGCTGGTGCGTCCTCTCTTCCCCGTCTCATCTTTTCCTTGCCTTTGGATTTTGCTCTCTCCTTAATTTTATTGCCTTAATCCCACCCAGATACACGATGTTTGTGCTCGTGTACTTGTGCAACAAAATTCATCTTCATGGCCGCTCCTTCTTCATTCTTTTGCTAGTGTCTTGGAGTTTCTTCTGCGCCAGCCAATGCCTTCACCCTATTCAACTCCATATTTCTCCAGAATCCAACCTGTGATCCATTGTTTCGAGACTTTAAGGTTATATCATCCCACTCTCCGACTCCGAATTCGTCTTGTCTTGCTGATTTTTAACTTTCTTCGTAATCTCTTCCCCCTTTCCCAGACGTTTGGCCGCTCTGTACCACCGAAATAGCTCCCCTCCGGAGAACATTCACCTAGTCAAGTTTCTTCTGCGCATAATTCCGTTGCTACACCAGGATTTAGTTTTATCGTATGGTTTCTCAAATCCTTTAGATCTGGAAAAGAAGCTGCCTGAACAGAGTAGCTTATGGGATGCCATGGCTCTTGCCTTTGACATGTTTGGTGGAGCATTTTCTGTGTCTGATTCTTTGTTTCCTACTGACGTCTGCCAATCCACGCTCGAGGTAATCCGCTTCACATCTCCTCTCATTTCTCTACTATGATTTGTTGCTCAAGTTGGTGCTTCCCGATATAGGTTCTAAGGAAAGTAATGGACGTCTTAGCATCCAAGGCCCAGCTTGTCGAAGACCGATTTATGTGGAGGTACAATTAAGCTATGCCTCTGAGATCTCAGTTTACTCTTCTTTTTTTCCCCTGCGTTGTTAAGACTTGTTATTCCCCTTAGCTAATATACTTTTGGTTCTGCAGCTTTTATTCACGCCTTCTAGACTGTGTGCACTTGGTCCTTACAAATATCAAATGTCCTGTTTCTGACCACGTAAGTAGGTTCTTCATAGCCTTAGATAAGTGACTTTCTGGTTTGAGAGCCGCACTAGCGCAGACTTTTCTTTTCTCTATGTTCAAGCAGAAGTCGTAATGTGGCAGGTCTCAAGTTTCATAGCAG